AATGGTAAAGGGGATAGTGAGAATTTGAGAAGTGACTTGAGGGTGGGGGGGTCGGTGAGGGGGGAGTGGAGGAGGAAGGAGGAGGAGTGGTGGAGGGAGGTCGTGGAGTAGGAGGAAGGAGGAGGGAGTCGTGGAGTAGCAGTAGGAGGAGTAGCTGTGTGGTGGTAATCGTCTATCGACCTCTCCCCGTCAGCGCCACCGCCGGGTTGGACTGCATGGCTGCCCTTGTACCACCCAAACTTCAGGCATTCTCGCCCTCCCTCCCTACCACAACCTACAACAATCTGTCACAACTTGCAACAACCCTCACCACTATTACCACAATCACAACTTACCACTGTCTGCCTACCACAACCCACCACAATCTAAATTATTTTACTTTGTGTGTACGTGACTCATGTACACACGATTATATCACTATGTATGTGTGACTGTCTTGTCTTTATGAATACGTCTCACATTGACTCACACACGGAACACCAATTCACATACATACATACATACATACATACATACATACATACATACATACATACATACATACATACATACATTCATTTTTTATGGAGGCACTAATATCAGAACTTTGTAAGGCGTATGTATGTAGTATAGTGTATTGTGTATGTATGGTGTATGCCTTACTTCTAACCAATGGGGGAAGTTGTCGCCTTTCCCGTTAACCAATCAGAATAGCTGTTTCCTTCCCAGTAACGAATGATGACAATTATTTCTTTGTTGGGTAACCAATGGGAGAAGTTGTCTCATTTTCATTAACCAATCAGAATAGCTGTTTCCCTTCCTAGTTATTAAACGACCAATCGGAGCAGTTTTTGCTTTCCACTTCAGGTAACTAATGAAGATGAAGCTGGTCTTTATGTGTTGAAGCTTAGCGTATACAGATCACGTGAAGATTAGCCACCCTAGCTTAAATCACCCTAACACTAAGCTAACATAAGATAACCTAACCTAAGCCCAACCCAACCTAAACCTAACTTAATCCAACCTAGACCTAACCTAACCCAACCAAACCTAAACCAAACCAAACCTAACCTAACCTAAACCTAACCAAACCTAACCTAACCTAACCTAACCTAACCTAACCTAACCTACCTCAACTTTTCCTCTCCACACACTAATGTAACACTGATAGTCTCTGAGCGAGCACCTTTACACCCCCCCCCCCACACACACACACGCTCAGGAAACTCACTATTGATTTTGGGATCACCTGGGGTCAAAGGTCAGGTCACGGTGACTAAAAGACTAATATTTTCGTTTTCAAAATCGCCAATTGAATGTCCACCACGCCTCAGTGACCATCATATACTGCGGTGGTGGTTCCTTGGTCTTTGAGTGGACAAGTTTTCTATTTAGTTTTCGGGTCATGGGGTCAGGTCAAAGGTCATGGTGTTTAGATAATCATGAATGAAATTATTACCCGGAAAATAGTGGAGGGTTTTTTGTGGGGGGAGATGACTTGAAGATTAACCCCCCCAGTTTATTTCATCTGATAATTAAAACACCTTCACCTAACGTAATCTAACCTTAACCTAACCAAACCTAACCTAACCTCACCCACACAGGTATAGCGTTTGTGTGTTTAATTATCAGGTAAAATAAGCTGGGGCTCTGTTATATACAGTGTTAAGGTATAGTTAGTACGTCGTTTACCTTCAGTATATTTGTGAGGCAGGTGAGCCATCTGGTGCTGGACTGACACACACACACACACACACACACAAACGGGCGTAATATAGAAACGCCACACTGCCAATAGGAACTGTCTGTCTACTATTACTGTAATATGGACGTTTATGATTGGCTACGTATCTTCTACTCGCTTATTGGTTACCTGTCGACTCCTCTTCACTGTGATTGGTCGACAGGTGCCACGGGGTATTACGAACTTACCCACGGTACTACATTATGTCAAGAAGAATGGTGCATCAGTTGTTCCTCCCACTCCCTCGGCCCGCTCTCTCCACGGGCTTCCACACTGCACCCCTGGTTCGTCTACCAAGCCTGCGGCACTATTGTGGCTGATGGTGTAATCTACGTCACCCTTGTACTTACGCATGGGTCACCCTTGGACTAATTCTTGGGTCACCCTTGGATTAACTCTTGAATTCTTGGGTCATCCTTGGACTAATTCTTGGGTCATCCTTGGACTAATTCTTGGACTACTGTTGTGTTAATACTTGATAATTCCTATTGTTACAAGGTGTTATTTGGGGAGTAAATTCTCGTTTCTTTGTTGCAGTTGATAAAAGTATGCTAAGGTGTGTGTGTGTGTGTGTGTGTGTGCGTGTGTGTGCGTGTGTGTGTGTGTGTGTGTGTTTTATCACCAGCTTGAGTAATACATGATTTGCTCCCGCGTTTGATATGCCCTATTGGTATGTTATGTGTTTAAATAAAATATGTGTGTTTGAGTGGGAGATAACAGAGAGAGAGAGAGAGAGAGAGAGAGAGAGAGAGAGAGAGAGAGAGAGAGAGTCGATCCTCATACTAGTGCAACAAACTGTATCTCTACTTCAAATAAATATACACATCAATGTTAAAAGTGATGTTCTGTATTAAATTGATGTCGAGTGTTAACAAAAATAGGGGACAGAATAATTGGATTGTGAATTATGATCAATCCTCGCCTCCCTCCCTCCCCCCGGCGGCGCCTTGGTATATGATCAGTTTGGACATGGCCTACAGCTCCTATACACGCTGCCCACAACCAGCACTTTGTGTGTGTGTGTTTTTCGGCTTTTGCGAATTTTATGAGACTGTCAGTTATCGCCTGTCAGCAGTAACTTCATAGATTTCAGGTTAACACTCGGAAGTCTAGAGGGGAAAAAAAATATTGAGGGAGAACTGTGAGAGTTTACCTGCACGATGCATTAGACAAATAGACGAGTATATCCAAGAGAAATTTTGGGGGAAAACTTTAGCCCAGCACTCTGAAACGTCAACAAGTCTTTGGCAACGACATACATCAGACGCATTATCCCGCTTACATACGAATCTTTAATAAGAGCGAAAGAATAAGAGATTTTTTTTAATAGGACAAAAATGAGAAAGATCTAAAAACCTGATGAAATTAGTGATGTAAACAAATATTTCTAAGAAGCGCTGACATGTAATTTAACCCCGAATAGAATCACTGGCGGTGTGTTTGTTGAATTCAGGGCACTTCGTTGGCATTACCTGGCGTGTGTGAAGCTCCCCAGACGCTGCTCTTTGTCATGACACACACACACACACACACACACACACACAAGAAGGTAAAGAGGAGGAGGAGGCACAGTCTGACTACACCTTCACTGACTCTGGCGTTAATGTGTTTTGTAATGGAAGGAGGAGGTAGTGTATGATGGATGGCCGCCTCACTGTTGTTAGAATTTTACTTCTTTTATCCTTCCTCCTCCTTTTCTTCGTCCTCCCTCCTCCTCTTTTTCTATTTCCTCTTCTTTTTCCCCCCTCGGCCCTCTCTCCTTCCCCCTCGAGCCCTTTTTCTTCCTCCTCGACTCCATCTTCTTCCTTCTCGACTCCATCTCCCTCGTCCTCCTCTTCATCCTCTTCCTTCTCTCCTTCCTCTTCTTCTTCGTCTTCCTCTTCCCCCCCTTCTCAACCTCCCCTCTCCCCCGTGCAATGCCTATAGTGTTTCCCGGTTTTCTTAATTATTTAGCATTATTTTCTGTCGCACAACTGACAGACTTAAAAAAAATCGTCAAAAGCTAATCATTATATAAAAGATGACATCATTAAAACTAAGCTAATAGTCCTGGGTCAGTTTTAAATAAAGTTACTGTGTCATCTTTCATAAATGGTTTAGTACCGTACTACCGTAGTCTCTTGGCAGCTATTAACTTGGTCGCTTCTCACAGTATGTCGACTTTTTTTATAATACTGTAACGAAATAATACACATATTGTCTCCCCCACGAGGCTACTACGCTTCAGGCTGCCATCTCCCCAGTAATAAAATATATTCTTATCAGTAGAACGTATTTTTTAGTAATATAACGGGCGAGTGTTCTCATATTCATTCTCATGCCAGCTCCGCCAACAGTGCATGTTGAATGACCAACATTTATACAATACTTAAATGCCGGAAACGTGCTCATGTGAATTTTATTATTACTATTACTTTCGGTAAGATGCGGGCGGGTGGTGAGGGAGGGGGGTTAGTGCTTTTCTCCTCTCCTCTCCTTCTTAATCTTTAATACTTTTCAATTGTTTTCTCTTGTTTATGTTCTTAATATCGTAAATTAATGACTGGTACCAACAACACATAGGAGCTAATATTTTTCCCAGGATGCATAAACTAAAGCGATTTTTTTCTCGTGTAAACAAATTGGGCAGAAGATGTGAGTATTTTCATTATATAATATTGCTATGGTCTATCGTCCCGTAAATATTACATATGGATATTGAAATTGACGATTTGCCAAACTGTAAATGGAAATTCTCTGATATAGTTTCGTTTTTAATTTAGGAAAGGTTTACAGATGCTTTACTGGTTCGATGCAAACAAAAAAACATGATTGTTTGTAACGCATTGAAGTGACTGCGGCATTTACAGGTGGGACTTGGTAATTAAATAACCTATCAGTGAATACCTTGTCGAGTGACCTTAATTTGGTTTAACATGAAAACAGTATTTGCTACCATATGTTACGTTAGGTCCTTGGTTATGGGCTAAGCTATGTTTTGCTAGGTCCTAGGTTAAGTTTGGCTAGGTCCTAGGCTAGGTTTGGCTAGGTCCGAGGTTAAGTTTGGCTAGGTCCTAGGCCCGAGGTTAAGTTTGTCTAGGGTTTACGCTAGGTCTGGGTAGGTCCTAGGCTAGGTTTGGCTAGGCCCAAGGTTAGGTTTGGCTAGGTCCTAGGTTAAGTTCGGTTAGATCCTAGGCAATGTGTGGCTAGGTTTGACTAGGCCCTAGGCAATATGTGGCTAGGTACTACACGTAAGATGATCTAACTTTGTTGTGGTGTTTGTGTGGGTGATGCTCAGCTGGGCGAGAAGGTGGTGGAGGCCTCAGCTTCAGGGTTTAAGGACAGGACCAAGAGGCGGTTCTCCTTACCCGCAGGACCACGGTTCGACTCCCGGCGCTCCTCAACAGTGTCCATCTGCTCTTCTACATGTATGAATTGCTGCTGTTTCCCCCCTCTCTCTTCTACCACATTCTTTCCTTTCTTCTATTCTTCCTTTTATTTCTCCTTTTTTCCATTCTTGTTGCTCCTTCCGGTCATCTGTTATTTTCCTTTCCTTATGGTTCTTTATTTTTTTTTCCCTTCTGTCTCCTTCCTTTCTCCCTATTTTCCTTCTTTCTGTTTATCCTTTCTTCCTTCACCCTTCCCTTTGTCTTTTTTCTTTCAACTTTTTGTCTCCTTGTTTCCTACTTTTATTTCTGCCGTTTTTCTTTGCCTCTTAAATTATTCCTTTACTTCTATCCCTTTTCTTCGTTCCCATTTTTTGTCTGTTTTTATTCCTCTATGCCTCTAACTCTCTCCCCCTTTGCACTCTCATTCTTTTATTTGTCTTCTTCTGCCTCTCCCTTTCTGTCGGTTATCAATTTTCTCCTTACATTTACGATTATCCGCCTGCGTTTATTCCTCTCTCTCTTCATCTTTGTATCTTCCCTAGTTTTCCATTTTCTCTGCCTCTCTTGTCTTCATATTCTCTGTATTTCTCTCGCCTTCCTCATTCTGTTTCTGCTTCCATTCCTGTTCTCTCTCTATTCTTTATTTCCCTATTCTTGTTTCTGTTATCTAAATTCTTCTTGGGTCATGTTTCCCTTCCTCCCCCTTGTACATTTCCTTTATTTTCCATTTCCTCGCTTCATCACACTGCTTTTGGCCCTTTTACTTTTCTAACCTCTATCTCTATCCCTCTTTCTCTCTCTCTCCCCCTCCATTCTTTCCTCTTCCCTTTCAGCTTATTGTATTTTTAACTATATTACATTTACTTATTTGCTTGTTACCACCTTCATTGAATAACTCTTATGTTCAATTATTTTACTTTGTTATTATGGTCATTTTGGATAATTATTGTACTATATAAAATAAATACTAAGTAAGAACAATTAAATGGGACAAATATTATATAATGTCTGTATGTGTGTCAACAAGACTTCATATTTAACTTTGTAAAGAGAGCAAATATAAATCATCTCGGCTCCATACAAAACGAGCTTAAAATATATAGTGTACAGTATATTATTATACTTTGGGTGGGAGTTCAGTATAGCGCAGCCAGTGTGTTTGTTCCCTGTCGGGCTGGAGGGGAACTTTGGTTTGTTTACCATTTGTCTCACAGTTTGTCCGTAAACAGCTTCTGCTTGTTTACTGTTGCACATATTTCATCCGTATTTGGTGCTGGTGTGAGCTTCTGTGTCACTTTAATACCCTCCCAAACGAGTTTTTAATCCGATTAAAAGTGGTGCTCGGTGACCATTTATTTTTTGGGTCTTGGAATTTCCATAAATGGATTTAGTGTGTTAACTGCATTGCATTTTTTATTTAGTTTTGCCGTGATATATGTCAAGCGAATGTTTGTCTTAAAATTGGCAATTTGGCAGCGATATTTTTTCTTGGGATTTCCAGAGTCGAATTGGTAACAACGGTACGGATTTCATTCAACATTGACAGAGAAATAAAGTAACGCAACTCTTATTATACGTATGAAACTAATTGTTTATGCTACTGTATTCAAACTCCAATTTATGGTCATTTTTCTCATGAATGACCATAAACAACGGTTAGGATTATAGGCTATGAAGTGTTGTGCATTGTTTTGTTTTTCGATTCTTCGTATTTTATGATGTGGTCTTTACTGGTATGATTTTTTAACGCATAAACTGCACATCTGGTGGAGGATCAACGAAAACATGAACATAACACCTGAAATCTTACGAATCATGGCAGTTACTTAGTTACTTTGTTGACAAGACCACAGCATTTGGTGTAGACTGTAGGGCATTAAAACACTCTTTTCATAAGTTAGCTCCTGCTTTTTCCTTGTTCCCCCTGCAGAGATGCATTTTTTGCATTAAAACAAACACGCCAGTAAATACCCCGTGTAAAAATAAAACGAAATTCAGTGAGGGGATTTAAGGAGAACATTTACACTGGTTTTACCAAGCCGTGATGTAATCTTAACGGGCGCATCCGTCTCTTTTGTTCAGCTTTACTCTTAAATAAAAAAAAGCGTTTCAAATCAAAAAATGAAATATAAATACAAATGGATGCACTCCTGAGATTTACAGAATATAATATACTACACGGTATTTTGTTATGACGTGCTTCTCCAGTCGTCTCTCAAAGGTTTTCATGTAAGTTTGGTCAGGTAAAGGTCTGGATTACTCATCTTTAAGGTAAGTGCCAGACAGATAACTGTTTAAAAGTTGACTGTCAGTCTGTATAGGTTCTTGTTATATTTGTCACTTTGTCAAGGTGATTCATGCCACTGTCCTTGCCAAGCTCGACTCTCATGGTCTTGAAGTAATGGTAGTGTTCCTTATTAAGTAAATGATTTTTTCTGTTAAAATTAATTGATAAATATAAATTACTAGGTTTACATAACTAGACTGGTTAGTTTGTGTGTATCGATACTTATATATAGGATAAAAGACACTTGTACTGTCGCCACAAGAGCACTACACAATACCTACTGTATACTTACTTGTACTGTATATACTTGTACATGTACTTCAGAATAAGTATCAAAGTCTAGGGATTGCATAGACAGTCTACATGATGCCACCGTCTCACTGTTAATGTTTACATATCCAGTGTTGAAGATGTATCCTTAACATTGTTGAACATTAAAAGCGTTAACATTCTTCACAACATTGAAAATATAAAAGCATTAACATTCTTTACATTGTTGAAAAGGAAAAACTTTACAACATTCTTCATTATATTAAACATTTATAAACATCACTGTGTTCTTTGTGTTGACATTAACACTTGATGTCTTCTCCACAGCTTCCTATACGGGGTCCAGCAGTGAGGAGGATGAAGTGTCTCCACGAGAGAAGAACCAGAAGAACACTAAAGGTTCTAGTGACTTCTGTGTCAAGAACATCTCCCAAGCTGCCTTTGGACGGCGGGAGATTGAGATTGCTGAACAGGGTAAGTGGCACTAATTAGCCTCGTAACATTATCCTGAGGATGGTAAGTGGCGCCTCGTAATATAAACTACAGTATTGTTTACAATAAGCCTTGACTTTACGTAATAATACTCTGAGAAATATTTACTCGTGTTATTTTTTCATTAATATTTTAGTTATTATGAACCTAATACTATATTCTATTCTTGCATTATTTTTCCTTGCAATATATTTCACCTTGAGATCTCCAGAATGCAACATTAAGTCACTGGTAATTTATTGTTCTTGTTCTCCATGATTTCGTTTCCTTTTGTTTTCTTAGATTTAGTTTTCATTTTGTCTTGTTTAATTGGTACATTGTTTTAGTGTTTTAAGGCAATACTACAGTGAGATGTTTAATGAATTCATTGTTTTAGGGATTTAAGGGAATCTACTGTACGATGAGATGTTTAATGAAGTCATTATTTTAGGGCTTTAAAGGAATACAATGGGATGTTTAATTCATTATTTTAGGGATTTAAAGGAATGCTGAAACAATATCTGGTTTGAGGCACGAGTGCTCATGATATCGGAGGTAACACAGGTGCGCAAAATGACCTCAGGTGTCTCACAGGTGCTCAGGGTGTTCACATGTGTTCCTAATGACGCCTGGTGTCTCACAAGTGCTTATAATGACCCAAGGTGAGTCACAGGTGCTCATAATGATGCCAAGTGACCCACAGAGGCTTATAATGACCCAAGGTAAGTCACAGGTGCTATAATGACCCTTATAATGAAACACAGGTGCTCACCACTCAGAGGCTTATAATAAGGTAAGTCACAGGTGCTCATAATGATGCCAAGAAACTCAGACTTATAATGACCTAAAGTGAGTCACATGTGCTTATAATGAGGCCTGACTTGGAGGCTATAATGACCCAAGGTGAGTCACAGGTGCTCATAATGATGCCAAGTGACCCACAGAGGCTTATAATGACCCAAGGTAAGTCACAGGTGCTCATAATGATGCCAAGTGACTCAGAGGCTCATAATGACCTAAAGTGAGTCACAGGTGCTTATAATGAGGCCAAGTGACTTTGGAGGCTTATAATGACCCAAGGTGAAACCCAGGTGCTCATAATGATGCCAAGTGACTCAAAGAGGATTATAATGACGCAAAATGAAACACAGGTGCTCATAATGATGCCAAGTGACTCAGAGGCTTATAATGACTCAAGATGAATCACAGGTGCTCAATATGTGAAGTTACTCAAGTGTTCAGAATTTTACCAAGTGACTCACAGGTGCTCAGAATCTTACCAAGTGACTCAGAAATACTCATATTGACCCAAGTTGAATCACAGATGCTCACAAAGCGCCCCCTCTCCCGGCCCCCTCCTCCTCCCAAGTGACTCATATCATAGACTAGCAAATGTTACCCCATAAGGCTCAACTACGGTGATAGTATTTACACTGTCAACATCATACACAGAGGAGACCAGAAAAGTTGGCAGAAAAGCTCACGGCTGTGTGTGTGTGTGAGAGAGAGAGAGAGAGAGAGAGTCGGGTGTGGACATTGTACTCAAGGGGTTAAGTCATGCTCAGGAGGTTATATCATCGTACTCAAGGGGTTAAGTCACCATATTCAAGGGGTTAAGTCATACTCAAGTGGTTAAGTCGTCGTACTGAAGGGGTTAAATCATCATACTCAAAGGATTAAGTCATTATAATCAGTTGGTGAAATCATCATACTCAAAAGGTTAAAAGTCTTCAATGATACTTCTGGCAAACTCTAGATTAACATAAGGCAAGAGAATCAAAATTGTTTAAGCAAGTGTGTTAATAAGCAAAAATATAGACAGGTGTGTTAATAAGCATAAATATACACAGGTGTGTTAATAAGCAAAAATATAGACAGGTGTGTTAATAACCCAAAATAAAGACAGGTGTGTTAATAAGCATAAATATACACAGGTGTGGTAATAAGCAAAAATATAGACAACTTTTATATTATTTTCGAAAGCACACGAGGCGACATTTTGGAGATTAAGGCATACGTTATGTTTTTAAATACAGTAGTAGCAGCACAGGTATTTAATTCCTTTTGTAATCCTTAATGATATTGTAGATGTTAGGAAGGGTAGAGGGAGAGATTAAGGAAGGAGGCAGGAAGATATTTGATTTAGGTAGAAGAGGAAAAGGTTAGGGAAGAAAATAAGAGATTGATTTAGGAAGGAGAGAGAGAGAGAGTAAGAGATTGATTGAGTCTATATTTGCATTGATTAGATGTGAATATATATTGTTAGAAGTACAGTATGCCAGAGAAATGCCAAGATGCCCTATATACTGGGAGACATTTTGGACGAGGTAAGTGTTACGTGAATGGGAGATACGATTTTCACTTATGGGTCAGATAAAGGAACAGAATGTATAAACCTGAATTATTCCAATAATGAGAGATTACCTATTCACATTATTTCACTTTAGTTTCAATTGAATAGAACACAACATTGATGAGGTGTACAATTATGCCATTATGACGATACATTTCAGGTATTATGAGTATTTTATGTAGAGAGGATAAAAATTAACTATTAATTATTGTAAGGAAAGTGTTATGCATGACTAAATTATTACTGGCAGGGAAGTGTATTGATTACTGGTAGGGAAGTTTAATGAGCACTGGTAGGGAAGTTTAATGAGCACTGGTAGGGAAGTTTAATGAGCACTGGTAGGGAAGTTTAATAATTACTGGTAGGGAAGTTTAATGAGCACTGGTAGGGAAGTTTAATGAGCACTGGTAGGGAAGTTTAATGAGCACTGGTAGGGAAGTTTAATGAGCACTGGTAGGGAAGTTTAATGATTACTGGTAGGGAAGTTTAATGATTACTGGTAGGGAAGTTTAATGAGCACTGGTAGGGAAGTTTAATGATTACTGGTAGGGAAGTTTAATGAGTACTGGTAGGGAAGTTTAATGATTACTGGTAGGGAAGTTTAATGATTACTGGGAGGGAAGTTTAATGAGCACTGGTAGGGAAGTTTAATGATTACTGTTTGGGAAGTTTAATGATTACTGGGAGGGAAGTTTAATGAGCACTGGTAGGGAAGTTTAATTATTACTTATTTTATTGTAGACTATGAGTACAGTAATTAATGTTCCCCCAGTTGAAGGATTAGTCAGAGTTCATTCCAGTGTTAAAAGATCAGAACTTAGCCCAAATCAGAACTCCTATGCTTTTACATAAATCTTGATGGAACTACTGTACAGGTTGTATTGAAATTAGCTATTTGGCCAGAGTCCACAATATCATATTCAAAAGTTTGTGTTAAAGGTCAAGGTCAAAGCTTAAGGTCAAGAATAAAAGCTTTCTTAAGAGCTTAATAGTTGTATTAGTTTGTATAGTGTACTTTTAAATAATTTCCTCATTATGCTGATATTTTGATGAAACTTGGACTGCATATCTTCTACTCTTAGAACCACTGATATAAAATGTTTAAGTAAAAGTTCAAGGTCACTGCTTGAAGGTTAAAGGTCAAAACATTATCCATGGAATGATTCATGTACTGTACAGGTATTAGTACATATATTATGTTGAACCTTTACATGTATATCATTGCCAGGTACAGTGTAGAACATCATATTAAAGTCCTTTTGATTCTGTACAGCTTAAGGTCACAGAAAGGTCACAAGTCATAAGCTGGTATATATGATAACTTTTGCAGTATTGATAAAGATAATTGATGAAACAACACATAAATATGTTTGAAACTAGATAATGTGCACAGCATTATATTTAAAGGTTATTGTCACTGTTGAAAGTCAGAGTTAAAATTTTCCTGGGGCATATGTGGGAATGTTGTATTGTATTGCTGAACAAGAATGAACAATAGAGAGAGAACAGTACACGAGAGGGTGAAGATCACAGAGTTGGGAAGTACAGTATAGTATCATCAAGGGAAGGAAAGTAAGCATGGAGGTAAAGAAGGAACAGAATGACAGTACAGTATAATACTTCATATTTTGATTTGTGGCAGTCAAACATGGACTTGGGATGAAGCAGAATGATCTTACAGTAATTTATAAAACTGGAGAAATGAGCTTCCTGAGTGCTGGGTGTGGTGTTACAAAAATGGAAGAGAGTCATAAATAATGAATGGAGTGTTTGGGATGGTGGAGAGAGCAGAGGGTGTGAAGTGGTAGAGTGGGTGTGGAGTGGTAGTGTAGCTGGTGCAGTGGTTAGAAAGCGACTGTTTTCATCATAAGGGAGAAGGTGGAACAGAACCTTAAGGAGACTACAGGGAATGGGAGAGAAATAGTGATAAGGTAGCCTGAAAGTTCTTATTTAATGATAACCCTCTCAGAGGTGACCTTCCTGGAGGAGTGAGGCATCATAGATAAGAGATGAAAGTTAAGTACCTCACTCCTTTACCAAGTTATAAAGTTTTATAACCAAGACCTGTCAAAAGCAACTTGTAAATATGTATGCCAAAGGCTTTGGGTGTATTAGCCTTGTTCTCCACAAGCAACTGAGCTCTTAAGAAGGGGTAAGAAAGAAACTGATATTCTAAAATCAAATGAGTCTGACTTCACATCACACAGGCCATGTGTTATCTCATCACTTCCAGCTCAGCTGCAAATTGAGGTCATATGACCTCTTCACTTTCCTCGCCACTCCCTCAGTAAAAAGACCTCTTGCCTCAACTTGTTCTGAATGATGAGTGCTGGTCTATTAGTGCACTTTGGGGTTATAATACCAAGACATAGTTCTGGATGTTGTTTATAAGATAACAGTTGGTTTTATCTTCCATTTTGCAAATTTTTACACATGTTTTAACCAAATCAGTCAGAGCTGTTGAGATAATTGTGGCATTCTCTGCTAACTTTTGTACAGTAGCCCTGTGTTTTTTTGTTTTGTTTTTTTATTCAGGCTGTTTTTTATACATTCTACATTGGGTTTTGTGAGACCCACCATCCCCATGCTGTGAAGTGGAATTAAGGAGTGGTCTAGGAGACACTGGCTAAGATAGGTAAACTTCATGTTACTGTATCCATTATTGGGATTTGGTCAGGCCTGTATGTGAATCCTCTTTTGAAAAGTTTTTGTACCGTGAATTCTTCTGGGTTCTCTCGTGTGGAAAAGAGAAGATCCCAGTAATGGGTAATCTTGACAACTGGCTAACATAACTTTCCTTGCAACATTGGAGCAATGGGGCATGCAGATAGGCTCCTTGTCTATCTAATAGTGGCATGCCCCTCCACACTTTGCAACCTGATAGTAAGAGCTCTTCAGGTACTACTGGCTCTAAGAAGGCCTCTCAGAGGATTACTACAGGCCTCTCTTATATGCATTGCTTGCTGTTACATATAAATGCTTGGCAAGTTTCACTTGAATTTGGGTGATGTTATGTAATGCTGTACAGTATGTACAATACAGTATATACATAATGTGATTTTGTTATGTTGTTTGATATATATTTATTAATTGTCAAGATGCATTTCAGAGATGCCCAGTTTTGTCTCATTGGGTGCATTAGGTTCTTACATACAGTACTGTACCTGTACAGCCTTTTTCATGGTTGTGTTTTGTGAGGTCGATTTTTTCTTTTCTTTGATGTTTGTTTCTTTTAGTTAATATTTAATTTTTCTATAATAGACTGTATTTTTAATTTTTAATCAGCTTTATAAACACTTATATTAATGACCTGGTTCATCTGTCCATAATTAGAGTGTTTTATTTTGTACCATAATTAAAACACTAATTAATGCTGTATCTTACAGAGATGCCTGGGATTGTTGCCCTCCGTAAACGTGCTGCTGATGACAAGCCACTCAAAGGTGCCAAGATAGTTGGCTGCACTCACATCAATGCACAGACTGCGGTAGGTTTCTTGTAATGTGTTTCATCCAAGTTGTCAGAAATAATAGAGGCTTGATTCAAATACTAAATAAATTTATTTTATTTGGGAAATACAGGAGTGCTGTTGGTCACTTTACTGGACTAATCACTGAACACAGTTGTCCAGAATTGTGGAATTTACAATATAATGTAGCAACATTTTCCTTTCTGTAGTACACTCCCCCCTGTGCAATAGTACAGTTGTACAGTAAAGGGGGTCCCCGGGTTATAAACGGGTTCCGTTCTTGAGGACGTTCATAAATCGGATTTGTACGCAAGTTGGAACACATGATATGTGCATACATACTTAGAGAACAATGTTTAAGATCCCACCATATCACAGCCTAACTCCTTATATACATCTGAAATCACTTAATTTAAGACAATAGAAGAAATAGAATGACTTAATACAGCAAATAGCAGTAAAAAATTAGTCATCAGGTAAATAAAATACTGTAAATTTCAAGTTTAACCCTGTTCGTGTTGGCGGGTGTTGGTAAGTTGGGGGGTCCCCTTTGATTAAAATTAAACCTTAATTAAATTTATTTTTCTTCTCTAAAATACACTTTAAAGTATTGTTGCAGTGGTTTTACATGTTGATAAATATTTAATGTTACTCTATGACCTATACTCTAATACTGTATACTGTACAGTTGAAACCAATGGACCATATATATAATACTGTGCACCAAAATTTAAATAATACTGTACCTTTCTCTTCCATAAAGCTAAGTCTTCCTTTCTTGATATTTAATCTCCCTTTGGTAGAGTTCCTTATAAGTCTCCTGCCTCAATCTTTGCCAAAGAGAATCATCCACAACTCTCATACTGATATTTTTTTCTTTTTTTCTTGTCTTTTTTATCACAAGATCAGGTCACATGAAAGGATAACTTTAATAAATTTTATTAATGCAGAATTCAGAACTCAAATTAAATGTAAAACACTGAACATTTTTATTAATTTTTTTGGGGGGGTGTAAGTTACATAAAAAAAGGACAGTCCAGTATAAAAAAAGGACAGTCCAGTATATTGGTTATAAAATAAACTAAAGTATGGAAACCTCTGCCACTCTCCCTAGGCTACAACATTTTTTTTATTTATGTCATGTAAATGTATTCTGGATGAAAGCTTCGGGCCTGTGGATCCAGGTATACATTTATTTCCTGCACAGTTATCAGTACTGGATCAATTGAGAGAGTGGCACAACTTTAATACAAATGTTCAAGGCTCTGTGTACAGTATATATACACACCCTAATATATCCAGTATAATTGTCAAGTCATATCAGCTTATATGACTTATTATTATAAACAGTTCATATGACTTGAAAGTTTTCAGTTATTGTTATATGTACAGATATGTAAAAAACACTGAACAATTACACATCAGATTTTGATGAGTGTAGGTTTGATAAAAATAAACACGTCATAAAATAATAGTGTGGGAACCTCCATAGCTGAGTCACGTCATTTACCGGTTTGTTAGCGACATGACCAGAAAATTGAATGAATAAAAAAATTACAAGTTCTCTGTATTGTTGAATTGAATAAATTATAAAAGAACCAAATTGCTAAAACAAACACAAAACAAATTTGGAAGGTACGCCAAAAAATGAACCACCTGTACCACAAACAACCACTCATCATCGATCTTTACCGGTACTCACGCTATTCATTAATGTGTCTTACCATCAAGGCCATTCAACTACTGAAGATAAACAATTGTTACTAAATCCAGAAGATCCAGGGAAAGATTCAGATGTGCACCGCAGTTGTTGAGAGATGTTTCCCACGTCTTTCATCTTGTACTTTACAAAATGATGCGATGAACTTCTTTCTCCATAGCTATCCATAGACGTTCCTCATGGTCACCTATCCAAAGATATTTAGTTGGATATCTGTTTAATTCCATCTGTTGTACTGGACTTGTTTGTGTCTTGCTTGAAGTAGTAAAGTACTGTATAAAAGAATGTTAGTTTGTCTAGAAATATTTAGACTGCTATACCAGGTGTTTAGTTTTACATAAAAGACAGTCCAGATTTTCCCTCTTATTTCTTCTTTCGATGATTATTAGATATTTATAACTGAATATTTCTTGTACAGTACAGCACAGTGCAGTACATGGTCTCTAGTGTAATTACTACCTAAAATAATTCTCAGCAAAAAGAATGTTTGAGCCCGTATATGGTAGATGATGTTTTGTTTTTAATAAAGTCCATAAAAATGAAATACTGCACTGAACATGACTGTGTGTGTATTTTGGAGTTTTTAAACCCATAACTATTTTTGTATTTTCTTCAGGTTTTAATCGAGACACTGGTAGAGTTGGGGGCCAGTGTGCGATGGTCAGCTTGCAACATATTTTCTACTCAAAATGAAGTTGCTGCTGCCTTGGCTGAAGCTGGTAAGAATATTTTCCTTTCCTTAATGTTAGGCTGGTAAGAATGTTTTCAATACATTTTCCTTCCTTCACAACAACTTTCAATGTTTTGTACTAGAAATATAATTTTTCCATTGTTCAGCATCAGGAGTAATGTTTGACTAATGTATAATTATTACCTCTTGATCCACCTATACAAATGTGGGCGATGAGGAAAAATTATTCATAGATAGAGAGTGAGAACACCAAATAATGCCAATTTTTATTTCCCCCCAGACCACTCCATCTTTGCTTGGCGTGGCGAGAGTGAAGAAGACTTCTGGTGGTGCATTGACAAGTGTATCAATACTGAGAACTGGCAGCCTAACATGATTCTGGATGATGGAGGTGATGCCACTCATCTCATGCTGAAGAAGTACCCAGCCATGTTCAAGATGATCAAAGGTATGGGATCAGTCTTACTTTATGCATTCATTCTTCTAAGTCATCACATCATCCCTCACACCTACATGCTTTCTCTTCCATCCATCACATACAATTTTCTCCATTCTTTCAAGCAAGGCCTTACCAGATGTGTTCCAGTGTGGTGCTCTCGTTCCAAAGTAAAGCCCCAAGATATAACTAGATGGATTACATTATCTTGTCTTGACTATAATTGAAGCATTAAACTTTTGATGTGTGTTGTTAAGACTTCAGGGAATGGCATTTACTCAGAGAACACTTTCAGTTAGTGTTATGGGCATTGTTAAACTAAAAATTACCAAAACAAGGGTGATTACTGGTCAAATAGGTCTCGCTTATATTGGGCCTAACCAAACCTAACCTGTTTACTAGTGTTTGGGTTACAGTTCTCTTGAGCCCCATTCCAAAAAGGCCTCAATTTTAATACAATAATTAGGTTAGGTCAGGGCATATTTGACCTGTAACCAAAGAGAAAGAATGTTATTTTTTTTTGTCTAAACAAGTAAACTTGAACAATATGTACATCAATCACCTTTGTAGCCATTTGACGGACCCAAAAGGCCTAAAATGGATAAAATATGATAAATTTACAGCCATATTGAGGTACATGTTTAAAGAGATACATTTTGGAGATTTGTGTTTATGTTGTTTCTTGTACTTTGTCACACCTTTTGAGGATGTGGAAATATTTCTGTAACTTTCACCACCATTATTTTAGGGTTTAAGATCAGGAAGATTTTAAGTCACTTTCTACTTTAAATTAAATGGCATTGTTCATGTTAGTGTGGATATGTTTTTGTATACGTATTTAACTTAATTTTAACGTCACTATAGCTGCTTCTTGCTGTACACTATTCTTTTGGTGTCTTTGTTCTCTCAATTTTTGGATCATTTTAACCCCAGCTTATTTCACCTTAAGATTAACATTTAACTAACCTAAAATAAATCCACCCTCACCAGGCAATGTTAATGTGTTTAATCATCAGGTAAAATAAACTGAGGGGTTAATCTTTAGTTGATCCAAAGTTTCATGTACTGTATTTTGTCCTTTTTTCTGAATAAAGATTATACAGCCACTCCTCGACTTACGACTGGGCTAGAGACCCAAATCCAGGTTGTAAACGAAATGGTCGTAAGTCGAGGAGCATCTGTATTTACTGTAATAATAGAAAATGGTATTGGAAGTACTACAGTAAACTTATTACACCTATTTTTCAGGAATCTGTGAAGAGAGTGTAACTGGTGTTCACCGCCTCTACCAGCTGAGTAAGGCAGGAAAGCTTACTGTACCTGCCATGAATGTCAACGACTCTGTTACCAAGACCATGTTTGATAATCTATACTCCTGCAGGGAATCCATCATTGACAGGTAATGCCAGTGATGTATGATTTATTGTGTAAATTACTCTTCTGTGCACACATAACTTGCCCATAAATAAGATTATACAAATACAGGATACAATAGTTGGTTTTATCTAACTCTTGTTCTTGTTTTAGTAGTTTTGCTGTTGTTGAATACTTTTTGTCGAGGTTAAATTCAGAGTAAATAGGGAAATATTGGCCGAGAATATAAATGCATTGTATGTTTTTCTAAATTTTTCTCTAATGTACTGTACTGTACTGTACTGTACTGTACTGTACTGTACTGTACTGTACTGTAGTATATTTTTTGCAAAGTTGTACTATTGTATGTACTGTATACCATATAAGGTAGTGTCCCTGTTAGTGTCTTTGTTTAACTTCTTAACAATACACTTTCTGACAGGAGTTGATAGTAATTTCCTTCAGCTGAATTAAGCTTGTTGGTATGTCAGCAAGTAGTCCTCACCTATATCTGTAACATAAAAATACCTTTATACATACAGTGCATTTGTTTATAGTGTCATATATAGTATATTAGAGAGGTTCGTGTAAGGTTGTGCATTACCCAAACAGTGTGACCTTTAAACAAGCTTTTATGTGTCGGTCTAAGGCATCAGTCATATAGTCCAGGCATCACATAGGTTGAGATAAAATAGATATGTATCCCCTATGGTCTGGGTATTTAGGAATATGGTTATACAGTACTAGTTATTATTCACACCAGCTACAGTACCAGTCACACATTGCCTCCTCATTGGGTTACCAGCTCTGTATAATAATCATTCTGCCACTGTATACCCAAATTTCTGCATAATTCAGAGATACCATTTGTTTAGATATGAAGGCAGTATTTGACATGACTTTATTCTTGACACTCCCCACAGTTTGAAGCGAGCAACTGATGTCATGTTTGGAGGAAAGCAGGTGGTCGTCTGTGGATACGGTGAAGTTGGAAAGGGTTGTTGCCAGGCTCTTAAGGGTCTTGGTTGCACTGTATATGTGACTGAAATTGATCCAGTTTGTGCACTGCAGGCATGGTTAGTATCTTCAAATAATCTTAGTTATTTGTCCCCTTGCAACAGGTCATGTTTTTTGTCCTTTGTTATTTGTTTGGTTAGGAAATAAGATTCAGTTAATGGAACTATGTGACTTTTATTTGGTTTATCTTAATAAAAAATATATTTATATCAGATTAGTAATGTTAAAATCATAAAGAGGCATTGTTGTTATGTTGTAAATCACCAGAAAAATTATACATGTAACATATCTCAAAAGAAGTTTGACTAAAATTGTAAAATATCTTATTATGTATGTGTACTTCCCATTTTAATGTATATGGGGATAAAGGAACCTTGAATTGAGATTTCTACATTTGCATAATTTAATAAAAGTGGAATGAATTTGTCAGTGTAAAGTATGTGTCCTCAGGTACAGCACATACTGAACTAGCACAATGAACCACACCAGTGCAGTTGCTATTAAATTAAATTTCCATTGATCAACATTCCACCCAACAGCATGGATGGTTTCCGTGTGATGAAGCTGTCAGAAGTCATTAGACAGGTAGATATCTTGGTGACAGCCACCGGTAACAAGAATGTGGTGACCCGTGACCACATGGACAAGATGAAGAATGGAGCCATCATCTGTAACATGGGTCACTCTAACACTGAGATTGATGTTGTAAGTAATTGATGTAAACTTGTTGATCTGGAGAGAATTTTTTATGCCTGTAATGTCTATAGGAGAATGTTATGTATTTTCTCCTTGCTTCTCTGTAGTATAATAAGCATGTTAGTCCCTCTGTGTGTTTTTAATGCTGTTGTAATTGTGTTTAAAAAGCTTATATCAAGGCAATTTGAATTACCATTGGGTTATATGTGTCTATGTAGATGTTTTGCTTATGCTTTGAGAATGTTTACAAATGTTTACGCTATAATGACCCGATTGTGGCTCTTAATTACCACAGATCATGAGTGACCTGTGAGATGATAACCCCAGCACGGTAGAAAGAGACTAAAGCCTAATGGTAGATACACTGTAACTTGATTAAACAGCCAAATAATGTTTTGTAAGAGGTACCTTATTTCATCCAGTTGATTCAGTCACATAGATCCCATTTGAACCAGTGTTTGACTCGAGGTCTAATAAGGAATTTAGATTCAAGTCTTTTCTGTCACTTAGGATTCATTAGTGTTTTACTGATTGTATTCTTGACTCTAAGAGTTTTTAATACAGTATTTATTACAGTTTCCTGAGTGAAAGATTATGAGACAAGTGTTGTTTGACTGCTGGAGTGTATCACCTGACTTTAGTGCATCACCTGACTTTAGTGCAAGCATCAGTATTTTGTTTATTCTGTACTTGAGTGAATCCTTGATGACAGTACTGTATAGTTATTGTCTTAATGCTTGGTGCCCAGATCACTTGGTCTCATCTACTTTTATACAGGCAACTCTCTTGGCAAAATAAAATATTAAAAGTGGTGGCATCCCCATAGTGAAGGGGTTAATGTTTGTTGAAAGTTTATTAAAAGTACAGGGACTGTTTCTTTCCTCAAAATAAAGCCAATATTTTGTGTCAGCCAAGTTAGTTATTTCATAGTGTCTGCCACTGTTCAAGTCAGTTAGGAAGTATCAGTGTTTTGAAGGAACCTTAACAGTATAGTTCCTGACTACTGTACTTACCAATAAATGATTTTAATTTGTAAATCCAAGTACAAATTATTGGGAAGTGATGTGTTGTATGACCAGCTCGTGATGATCATTCAGTAATCAGGTTAGGGACACGTGACTGGGTGAACATTTATTAGCTCCTTCTACGGCTTATTACTGTACCATCAGCTATTCTATAACTTCCTCAGAATTAGATGGCTTGTTATGACAAGTTGCTTCTACATTGCAACTTGTTATATCACACTTTCTTTGTGTTTCCGTTTCAAGATGAGTTTAATATAATCAAACTCGTTTCTTTATCAGGGGTGAAATTAACATATGTTGAGGTCTGATTAATTTCTTTAAAATATTCAGTGCATTTTCTAATTCCAAATGTCACTTACTTAAGCAAATATAAAAATCCGACATAGCCTCGGTCCTGAGAATTGTGGGTAGAGCTTATTGTATTTGCCTCTGAATCAACTGAGTGACAAAAGGTACTCGTAGAAAAGCATAATTTTGTCACTTATTCCGCTTTGATACAGTATGTTCCCATTATTAAACTACAGGCCCTCTCTGAAGAGCATAGAGGGTGTCTAGTAACCAGGTTATCCCACAGGCCACTCACCCCTTCTCCTTTATCATAAAATGGGATTTCATGCTAAAATCCTCTTTGTTGTTTTAGGGAATCATATTGTAGCCGTTAGTGTGATCATCCATTGCTTTTTCATTGGCTTTAATTAACTGTAGTGTATATTTATGCTTTTTGCTTCATTCACTTTGTTTTTTAATAAATATTGCGTGCACAATGTAACATATGCTATCTAGAGATGTTTCCATTTAGCAGACTCCTCCCCAAATATGGTGACCCCAAAATTCTGCATGGTGGCTGAGCTTATCACAAGTAAACAGAGAGGAAAAGTGGGAGATATATAAATTGTGTTTTTATTATTCAGGACCATTTTCCCTTCATACTGTGCTTATATGCTAACCAAACTTGATAATTCCTACAGAAGTCACTCAACACACCAGAACTCACTCACGAAAGGAGGAAAATTATAAGTAATATTTCTTATTTTTGTTTTCATAATGCCTAAACATATTCGTACATAGTTGAAATACAACAAATAACATTAAACACTCACTGGATATCCTTATGTTAAAGAGACTCACAGTGAAGGTTCAGAAGGGTTTTTTAATGTCTTGGTTACAGGTCAGAAAAGTGCATGTCTTGAAAGGTGAAAAAATGTCTGTGCTTGACTTGGGAGTTTAGCATGGTTCATCTATGGCCTCTATAGATCAGTCTATGTATTTTCTTTGGGCTAGGACTTCTCACTTTTTATTTCAGACAGTAAGAACTTTACAAACTCTTGACTTTGTTAGATCTCTGTTGGCTGAGTTTTTGGTCTTATTTTATATCCCAGTGATGCCTAACATTATCGGTTTGACCTGGGTATCATGGCATCAAAGGTACTGTATATTGATAATGTTAGTTTTTTATAGACACATAAAAGAAATCTGCTTAGTGTATGGGATATACATGTATATATGACAAGCTGTTTAGAATTGTTCATCTGTATATATTTTTAAAGCAGCATACTAATCATACAGGAAACTTCCATTTTGTATATACTGTATTATACTTTATTTGACTTGTTTTTCTCCAATACAAATATGGAGAAGGCATATAGGATAATCTATATCCATCCATCTGTATGTGTATAATTCTGGATGTCATGCATTTGGCTGCTGACCAATAACAAAAAGGGGCACAGATTAAAGGTGGATATGGTACACACAAATTTATCATTGCTTTCTGGGCTGAGGTTGTTCATCATCATCATCACTGTTTTACGGCAATTTTCTAAACTACTGAGGGCTAGCCGTGATTACCTGATGGTAGCTCTCTGTGTTGTGCAATCTCTTGCAACCACTCTAATCAGGTTTTTAAATCTGATGGCATTTCTCATAACCTCTCCCTATGTCATTCGTGGCAGACCCCTGGCTCTCCTCCCCTCCTTACTTAAACTTGTGCATCCCTCAACCTAGTTTGTCTCCTCCATTCTGTTCATGTACCCAAACCATCTCAGCCTGCCTCTAGGCAAACCTTTGCCAATACTCTCAATATCCAATCCCCCTCTTTGCTGTAAATGGGGTTTCCTATTTTTCAGTGTCACATTGCACATCCACCTTACCTTTCTCATTTCAACTTGCTCAAGCCTGTTTGTTATTCTCTTTAATTGCCCATGTTTCACTGCCATCCTTCAAACTTCTCTTGCCAGTTACACACACACCTCTATTTTCACATGGAGGGAATATCTTCTTGCTGTCAATAAAGGCAGCAACTCCCTGAACTCTCCCTAACCTCTTCTGACTCTTGCAACAGCTAGTTTCTGCACCCATACTGGTACTGATCACATCACCCAGGTAGCAGAATTTGTCAACACAGTGTTGAGTTTCTGCATCCTTGCTAAGGCCACATGAATACCTGTACATATAGAACATTTAAGTCTGTAACATCCTGCCCATTTTCTCTGCTGCACCTTTAACTCATCTACCTTCTGCACTTACTACATATTATTGAGTTGTCACCAACATATTTGTTCCAGGCAGCACATGGCCATTTCCACTTTCCACTATGGGTCCCTCACTCATGCTACTGATCACTACTTTTGTTTTCACCCTATTCAGTCTCATACCCTCTGACTCTGTTCCATCTTTTCATTTCTTAACTTTCTTCACTACTTCTTCAACACTATCTGCTATCATCACATAAGTCATCAGCATACAACAACTCCCAGCAGAGTGGGGCTCAAAACAGACTCTTTGATGAACTCCTGCTTTCTCCTCAAATTCCTCACATAGATCACCACATACTGCTACAGCAATCTTAGAGTCCTCATATAATGCTATAACCACTTGAATAAGGCACTCCTTGATCTCTAGCTTTCTTATTACCCACTGTACTACTTCAAATGATTTTCTGAATCTACAAATATGAAGTGTTTAAAGTTTGCACTTGACACGTTAAGGTGAGATTGGGTGGGTGGGATCCTTGTGAAACACCGTCTTGCTGATCCACTCTTAACCTCCATGTGTAGAGCTGGTGGTTATTCACCTCACTTGGAGTACATCACTGACCCAGGGTACACACATATTTGTCGGATTTTGTTCCTACCTTACATAACAGAGGTGCTTGGGTTGTTGTGAATTTACTTATAAACTTAAGTAACAAATGACTGATACAGAACAAGCTGTGTCGAAGGAGAGGACATACAGTGACCCCTCGTTTAACGAACACCTCGGTTAACGTAATTTCGATTAACGAACTGCCTTCCATAAGGATCTTCAATTCGGTTAACGAAAAAAAATTCGCTTAACGAACTTCTTACGAACCGACCTCAACATGTTTTCGCTTGCACTGACCGGGCAACCAGCTTTAGTATCAGTCTGCCAATACATTAATCGGTTCTATGGCTTAAATTCCTTACTATTTTTGTAAATATCAAGAAGTTTATACTATTCAATAATTTTAAAAGTTTAATATTCAATTTTTTAGTCATTTTAACAATTATTGAACAAAATTGAAGGTAAAGTGACTAGTTTAATGCGCGGCATCCAGCCTCTTAACACAGCAAACAGGCGTCAGTCTCTCTGTTTTCACTGGAGGTAACATCTTGCTTGAGACTCTCTTCAACTAAACGCTTTTTTTCTGTGTTTCCAAGCAAATTATTGGTCATTTTGAAATATATTTTATATATTGACAATATATAATGCAGTGCAGCGTTGATTTAAAGAAAATAATCTTGAATTAAACCAGAGAGCTAAAATTTTATGGGTGAAATGGCACCATGGGGTGACTTCTCTTCCACCCCAATGCCTTCTCTTCTTCCTTCTCCTCCACCCCCATTCTAAATCCCATCATCATCATCATCATCCAGGAGCCTTCTACATACACACCTCAAAGTAAGTGAACTTTTCTACCATTTTTGTTGAATTTAGGAAATTTTCGGTGAGCTGGAACCAATTACCCAAAAACCCATTGAAACAATGGTTTCGGTTAACGAACGTTTCGGTTAACGAACGACCTTCTGGAACGGATTGAGTTTGTTAACCGAGGGGCCACTGTATAAGTCTTTTATTGAGAGTCAAATTAATGTGGGAAATAATTTTTAAAACATAATTTAGGAGACCAACATTCGCAACAAAGTTTAAAATTATTTGACCAAGAATTGAAGGTTTAACAATCTGTTGGCCAAATGAAGGAGATACACAGGAAAACAATGTCTTCCCCTTCTGAGGGAGCCAACAAGATATAGTCCTTCATTGAAATATTAGGCTCTTAAAGATGAGCTGTACATATATAAATGATAATATGTAAATAGTTAAATGTAAACTAAAGTTCCTTTTTTTCAGTGTTCTATATCTCTCATGTGTGTGCATGTACATATGTATTTTCACTATTTTAATTACAGTACTTGTAATGTTTTAAGTTTTTTGCTTAAAATGTTATTTACAGGTAAGAGGTTACAGTATATTTTTTCATGTTCACTGCTGTCTTATGGCTGTTAGACACATTGTAAAGTATTTAGTTTTGTAAAATAGATCCCATTTCTTTGAGGGATGGGCATAATAGGCATGGTCAGCTATGTCAGATTTGTTCAGAAATATCATATAACAAGTGGTTTTTAAGGATGGACATGATTGCAGTGATATGTGAATAAACATGATATCTTATGGCCAGAAAGGGATCACTGTTATTGAATAAATTGGTAAGGCAGCTAGGAAGAATGGGTAGAGAGAAAGAGTGTATGTGTTGGTTAAGGCTCTGTTTAGCAGGAAAGGATTTACAACAATTCAAAAAAATCAATTTAGTGATAGAAACCGTATGGTGGAATAAAGAACTGGAAAAGGTAAGCTAAAGGAAAGAGAAGCATTTTGTCCTGTGATGAACTACAGGATGGCATTGTTGAGGTGAATGGAGGGGAGGAGGTATTGGAAATTAAGTCTAGTACTGTACTCATTAGATTATAGGATTTTTAGGATAGTGAAGTCAAAGAGAAGTGGTTGGGTAGACTTATCAAAGCTAAATAAAATATGTAGGAAATGTATATATAGTAGTGGAGAGGAAATAAGATATGACAAGTAGTAATAAAAGATGGAAGTAAATAGACTATGAGGGCTATAAATGTGGTGAAATATGGTGCTGTATTTATATTTTGGGGCATTGAGTGTGGAAGATGGAGTTCAGGTAAGCTAGTTTTCACAGTAGTATTTTTATGTAATTTTTTTTAAAAGTTTGGAATAAAAATAAGAAAGAAGTATAAGTATAGAATAATAGAGACTTTAGTAGTGTTAAAATATAGTTTATATGTACTTAAGTGGAGGAAGGTAAAAGAAAGGGGTCAAGTTAGTTTTGCTGAAAGTACTAAGGTGAAAATGACTTCAATGATATAAAGGTAATTCATTGTATTGCTCAGGTTAATCATTGCACTATTAATTTTATATACTAATTTTTTTCTCGATGGTTTCCAGAATTCTCTCCGCACCCCTGACCTGACCTGGGAGAAAGTCCGTTCCCAGGTTGATCATATTTTGTGGCCCGACGGCAAGAGGATCATCTTATTGGCTGAAGGTCGTCTCGTTAACCTCTCCTGCTCATCTGTCCCATCGTTTGTTGTTTCCATCACTTCTTGTACTCAGGTAATGTTCTAGGTATTTTAGTGTACTGTAGTATTAATGTTTTACCACTAAATAGTTTTTGACCTTTTATTGTACTGTTCTGCTAGATGAGGAAACATACAGTAGTGCATAGAATTTTCAGATGGACTTCATGATTACAGTAGACCCGCAATATAAGGTGAGAGTGGGACTGTGAAATGTTACACAATATTGAATCACATCATATCGCTCTGTGTACCTGTATTATAATAGGAAATATAGGGTACATGACCGCAGCACCAAAACGTACACCAAAAGATTCCGTAAGACACCACTTTTGCTCACTTCAACAATAATTCCATCATTTAAAAAAAAAATTCTAAGAAATTATAACTTGAGTGTGAACCTCTGCTTCCTGGACTGCAGTTTGACCTGTGCCTGGGTGGGCTAATTCCCGTAAAAAAAAAAAATTGTTATAGACTCAGGATGACTAAAGGAGCAATAAAACTTGGTCATGTGTGATCTGCTACACACATGCTGCTGGCCACTGTGGTAATATAGGTTTTCATGTGCTGATTATTTGTCGTTGTTTGATATTAAATCTTTATATATACTGTACTGTAATAAGAAAATGAAAGGTATTTAATGATTCTCTAAGAAATTAAACATAAAACAAAAACATGTTTATTGGTATTCTTACACTAAAGGTGAAGGAATTATGATAAATCATCGAAGGTGGCAGAAAAATAAAATTACTCGTTCATCTTGCCTAACCTTAAGAATTGGAGCCCATTAGGGTTCTTTGTTGCCGAGTTAAGTTAGGATGGATACCAATAGGACTGGAAACCATTTGACTCACTTCATTTACACATCACTGTACAGTATTTTATTTTTTTTATTTGGCTGAATGTTTGAAGTTTAACAACACATAGATTTTGTTAATTAAAGTAAACTAAGTGCATCCTATGGTCTACTGAATTTGATACAGATTCTCACCAAACACACTTTTTGTTGTAAATTGTGCATTTATGTATAAGGTTTTTCTTTAATGACATTATTATTATTATTTTTTTTTAGGCCTTGGCACTAATTGAGCTCTTCAATGCCCCAGCTGGACGCTACAAGTCTGATGTTTATCTCCTTCCCAAGAAGATGGGTATGTCATAGATATTTCGTCTTTTTTTTTAAGGACAGTACTTCATAAAACTGTTTGAAAATGATCCTTTGACCTTTTTGCTACAGTATTGCACCTACTCTTTCCCACCTCTGGCAAGGGGGAGGTTAGGTCACTAGTGAGGTGTGTAAATATGCTCTGGAGAGAATACTGTAGAGGTGGCTAGGTGGTGTGTGAGGTGAGGTGAGGTGAGGTGGTGTTTTGCAGTGTGACAGCCATGTGGTGGTGAGCCAGCCAGAGATGTGTACTGGAAGAGAGTTGGTGGGGAACAGTGTAGGTGGTGGAAGTGGAGGGTGGGGAAGTTGTTGAGGTGCTGACACAGGCATCTGGGAGTATCCCTTTGTAGGTTGGTCAGTAGTCTGGGTTGTGCATAGTTTAGAGAGGAGGTATGCATGGAAGCTACATCTGTGTCCAACCCTTCCTTCTCTCAGAGAGGAGGAAGTACAGCTGGCTTCTGCATCAGTGTCCTTAACTCTGTGAGGGAAACCTACAAGAAGTTTCCACTGTGATAACTGTAGTTCCTTTTTGTTCTGTTTAATAAAATTATGGTCAGTATTCTTTTAATAAAATCATATTGATCAATCGGTTAATGTCTTTTGTACAGTATTTAGTTTTGTTTGTGTAAGGTGTCTGACAACTATCCCCCAGGTATGCATCCTCCATTTATTACTCAATATCTATGGGAAAATCACATTCACTGTACAAATTTTCACATTACACTCAAATTCTACAGGTCACATCATCTTTGTACAGTGAGGACTGCTTGTATTTTGTTATTTATGAATTTATACCAAGTATGATTTAGAGTCCTCAGGTTTTTAAGTCATGAGTCTGTTTAAATTCCTTTATGAAGGCTATGGAGTAGTGATGTTTGCAGATAAAAGAGTAAGATTAGATTTTTTTTGATATATTGTAATGATAATCATGAAAGAAGTATATTTCAAAGATTTGTGCTGAACTGTGCAACTGGCCAGATTTTTTGCTAATATCTGTATATATATATTTTTTTTCTTTTTAGACGAGTATGTGGCCAGTCTCCACTTGCCAACATTTGATGCCCATCTCACAGAGCTGTCTGATGATCAAGCTAAATATATGGGCTTAAACAAAGCTGGACCATTCAAGCCTAATTACTACAGGTGAGTTCTCGGTTACAGTAACACAACAGTGGATAATAAGAACATTATTTTAGTTACATTAAGTACAGAACTATGTAGTGGTATCTTGAGTTTTTGCGAAGTACTAATGGAAGCAGTTTATTTGCCCATAGCTTTACACACTTCCCACTCCTCTTAGTTCTGGGGTGTAGGGCAAATAAAAGCACTTTATCATACAGTATTGGATAACTAAATAGAAACAGAATTAAAGCAGAATTGGGTGCTTGAATATGCATGAATATAATCAAATAGTATAATGTTAAAGTGATTGAAAATATGATCAGTGAAAGGAGCTTAGGTGACCCTGGTTTGTGCAGAACAAAATTGAAAGGTAAAGGGGAGGTGAGTTAGAGACAGGTGCAAGGAGTGAGGTCTGGAGTGTCTGAGAAAGTTAGAATGATAGAAGGTGGGGTGATGGTGTTATGTTATGAAATATGGAGTCATTAAATATAAGAAAAGAAATTTGGATTATAGTGAGAATATATACAAATGTAAATGTGATGATTAGGGACAGAAGAGAGAGATTCTGAAAAGACATGACTAAATGTGCTGTAATGGTTTTTTATTATGAAAGAGAGTGATACTGATGAGGGATTTAAATACAAGACTTGGTGATAATGATTGTAAGGAAATATGGACTCCCCAGGAATGAATAGAAATGGAGATAGACTGATTTAACCATGTACTGAGAGAGGATAGTTCAGAATACATGAAGATGGGATACTGAAGAGATTGAAGGATATTTATACTAGTGTATGTGATGGAAACTAAAAGTAAATTGATTGATCCAAATGTATTGTTTGTGAGTGCATGATTAAACCATCAGTATGATATAGTTATACAATATATTATAACAGTAAAAAAACCACATCTTAATAACATTTTCCCCATCAACTTCACACTTCGTTTTGTCCACACTACTTACCATGGACACTATGAATTTGGTCTAGCATTTTGGGGAGATCGTCCGGTTACTGAGTGTTTTACATGTAACTTTCAGTCCCCAACAGATTAAAACATCCTGTTCTAAATATCTTTGGTCCTTAGATATCTTGTCTATGTTCTAATATCTTCTTTTGTTTTCTTCCAGGTATTAGTCATGTCTGTAGAAGAAGAGCGGTATATGGTAATTCCATAGGACTGTATGCCATTGGTGATGTTAGCAAGTTATACTAGTTGTAGCAGATGGCATACATTTGGTGGAAGACAAATGGAAGACAATATTTCACCTCTCAAAAAAATGTGTGTTATTGTCAGGGATTTTGGACTTCAGAAGCATTTCTCGTGTATATTTTTTCTTGTTACAGCATAAATGGGTTGTATTGAGGTATCCAGTTCTCATTGTCTTAAACATTACATATTTTGGTAGCTACATAATGTCATATGTCATCTGCATATATTAAGTGATAACATCCTAGTTTGCTTTGAGAATATTACAGCCAGAAATTTACATAGAGTATGTGATATCTATAAGGAACCTTTTGAAATGAGAAATGTTCAGACATTAGTTTAAGTCTCTGTAAATATTAAAGCTTGGGTATAAACTAAAGTTTGGATAATATTAATAGTGCTGCAGTTATTAAGGTTTTAGGGATTCCTATGATCAATTCCCGAACTTAAACCATCAATCACTACGTACCTGATGACATAAACTGCCAATCAGCTCACAGCAGTGCTCAGGTACATTACAGGGGGCGAAACAACCTGTATTATATCGCATCTTGTAACAGAATACAGAACTCCTTTGTGTGAAGCAAATGTGATACTACTTAGTGATTCACTCATCAGTGCATAGCAGTTTTAGTCACATTATTTATTTATATTTTCAAAATTCTTTCGCCCCTTGCATTATGGCTAGCAGATGATGTTTAAGATATGATTATTGTTCACCAGCATTGTCAGCTTCCCTCTTGCCACAAGGATAGACGTTAATGAAAGGCTTATATATGATAAATATAGTCATGTATTTCTAGTGGAGTAAGGAGGCATGAAATTTTAGTTGTTGTAATTTTCAATAAGGGCAACACATGAATTACTAACCTCAGAGGGGATACTGAGAATGATGATTTTTTAATTTTATAATTCTAGCTAATGTATAAATGAGATTGTCCATGGTCAGTGAAACCATTTTGAATCATTGACATACTTATAACATTTTTATATATAATTATAAACTTCATTTTTACTGATGAGATTGAATATTTTCCCAGATCAAAATGCTTGAAACTATGGATATGTTTTTGTATTATTAAATTTTCAAAGAGTTTGCCTGTAGAGGATTGTCACTTTTAGCTCCTACATGCTCTAGAATCTTGAAAATGTTTATGTAAATCAATAATCAACTAACTTGGATCTATTGTGATCATGTCAGGAACTTTTCTGCAGTGTTGGCAAGAACTTTTTGTTGTTGTTGCTGCTTCATTTCATCTTTCTGTGACGAGACAAAGTTAACATTGTCATCGTAAGTGTTGGTGGATATGATTATGAAAAGGCACTAGGTAATCAAATACTAGTGTAAGTATTAAACATGGTCAAATACTTCCTGCCTCAAGGTTTATTTAAGGATGTTGGTGACAAAACAAACCAAGCTTATGGCAGGTTTTGTTCTATATCTAATAGATCAACCATGTCTGTCTTAGAGTCTGCCTGTCTTGTCTGTGATAGTTTTAGAGGTCAGAACCAGTTAACAGAGTACCAGAGGCCAATATAACCACAATAGAGAAAGCATTTGTTTATCACTAAGGTGATCTGCATTTGCAAGAAATTCACTGCCACTATTGACAGTGTTTTAGGTAAGTCTTATTTCACAAGGCTACTGTGTTCATTTCAGTCAAGCTGTCGCCCCATATTAGCAACTTGTACTTGTAGAAAGAGCTTGCATCAGAATTTCTTTATTAGTATCTTTCAACCAGATCATATACAGTATATATATACAGTATATATATATACAGTATATATATATATATATATATATATATATATATATATATATATATATATATATATATATATATATATATATATATATATATATATATATATATATATATATATATATATATATATATATATATATATATATATACCAGACTTTATTGTGGAACTTGGTGATACAGCAATAGGAATATGCCAGTCTTTAATCAAGTTAGGTCAAATACTGTTTAGTGGTGTATTAAGGATCTCATTCTAAATTACAACCATATAAATAAGCCAAGCAATGTACTAATAGGAAATTTAAAGCCTCTGTAAGCATACTCAGATGTTGACCATCATGCAGATGCCCCACTTAGGAACTTGAGGGGCAGTGACAGCATCTTTTTTTTGATATGCTTCTATGTGACATCAAGAAGGTCATGTTGTTGCTCAGTTAAGGCCTGACTTTTGAAGCATTATGTGATATTCTCTATGTACTTGAATCATTATTTGGTGCCTGGGATATAGTTCATACCTATTGCCACAACAGTCTGAGGAGCATTTACCTACACTATCACATGGTACATCAGAACATAGGCCTTATCATTATTGTTGTTGTTACTGCTGTTACAAGCGCTGCCATCACAAGCTCATCATTCATTGATTCTCGGATGGTGCTGTCAAGACAATCATTTGTGGCATCACATCCTCCATACCTTAGGTATGCCTCATTTACTTCACTGGCTTGGTTTGGCCAAACTTCAAACAAATACCATTTTGCCATTTGGGAATGAGGCAGTAATACAGCATGGCTCCTCCTCCTCCAATTTTTTCATGTGGACAGGAGAATGGGCCTTGTTTGTTCCCTGTGGTATGGTGGTAATTATTGTTCTTTACCTGATGTACCTAAAGACAGATCATTTACATTCTTATCACCAATGAAATTCTTTAGTGTTATTTAAATGAGAATGGTGAATTATCTTTGTCCATTAGTTAACTAAATGCCTTCACAGTTTAAATTTTTTTTACATGCATGAATGTGGCCAATACCTAACTGAAAATGTATTTGTGGAAGATAGCGTGGACACAAAAAATTACAATTCAATTTGGTGCTCACTTTTCTGGAGGTTTTGTCTCGTACAATATTATTGGATGCTCTTAACAACCCACGAACTCTTCCTTTTTACATTTCAGTCAATAACTGATCCAAATTATAGATGATTAAGTATTAGTACAACATGGAAAGTGAATGGTGGATCAGTGATAGGATGAATTGTCTTCATCATACAATAAGAATCAGACTTAACATTTACCAATAATTCCGTGCCATTGATGCCAGCACCATGCCGACCTTTTTCAGCATGTTTTATCTCTACTTGAAGCAAGGGCTCTGTAATATATAATAACAGACTACAAGACTGAGTAATGTTTCCGTATTTTAGTTTAATGATGTTTTAATGTTTTTACATGTACAGTACTAATATGTCCATCATTAAAGCATAATTGAGGTATATTTAAGACCCCTTCATACACCTGTGTGAGAGAACCATCATCTGTGTTGGTACCGATTTGGAGAACAGCAAAGTAAGAAACTGTAAAGAGACTGCCTATTAGTAAATTGCAAAAGGCTTATCTATCAATCTTACTTTTAAAAGCCTAGGTTTTAAAATAATTTTAATATTAATGTAATCTTTAATTAAATTTTATTGACTATTTTAATCAACAATTAATTTTGGCAGTTATCTTGGATAATTTTTATTTATTTATTTATTTTTTTAAATATTTTTACACTTCTAGGTAGTCTATGCAAAGTTGATATTGGTGAATCTGAAGGATGTTGAGAGCTATAGAGTCAGGGCAATCATATATGTACAAAAGAAGATTATGATGATCAGTAATGCTCGTGGATATTGTTTTTTTGTACGCTGTTTGATGTCCTCTGGATGTATGACAAAATAACATGAGACTAACCGGGTAAACATCCTACAGTAACTAACATCAGTAACATGAAGAATATACTAAACCTTGTAACATAGTCTCTGTAAAGAAAACCAATGACTATTGAAAGTGGAGCACATGACACTGTAGGTGCTGAATAGTTTCCTTGGAAATTACAAAGCCATCTCATGCCAGGGCACAGGCAAGGCATGAGCTTGAAATAGCATATAGCAACAAGGATAAGAGCAAGAAAAGTAATTGTATATTTTCAGTTTGTTGTGCACAGTGGGTGAGATATTTAGTGTACAATCTGACATTCCAAACACCTTGGCAAGTTATGGTGTTTAATTAAGTATTTTGGGGATCTCATTGGTGCTTGTTGCAGTCTCTTGATCTTCAGTACAGTACCAGGTTTTGTTTGATTTTGACATTTAGAAATTGGAAATATTGAATAAGTTTCTAAAGAAAAGTGAAATTAGGATTATATATCTTTTTTCTTTCTTTTTTATTATTTATTTGATATACCGGACCTAACATCCTCAGAATTAGAACTTTTAACGTGATATGTTTGCCCTTTTGTAGTTTCAAAATTGCCTCTACTTTATGTATAGTATATTAGACTCACCCACATGCATTTTTTCTATTGTATTTGGAAGACTTCATTATGATGATAAAGAAGTCCCTATAACCTACAGATTATGTGAGAGTTTAGCCTCTGGAACATGTTCTTACTAACTTATAATGTATCTATTCAGTCCTGTTAAAAGTTGGCAAGGGTTATAAAATTGTATTAGTTTGTAGAAATGATGGTGTTTTATTTATCCTGGTTCAGTATTGTAGGAACAAGGCTCACTGAAGTTTGTTACCTAACTCTATTACCAATCAGGATATTTAGCTATATAATTTTATTTATGTATGTAATCCCTTCCTTTGTGTTTTCTGTTGTAAAAACTGTGCTCTGTTGCTTATGTTAGTTAAATAATTTTCACAGTATCCATATTTTTGTCCTGTTTTTAAATTATGTACAATATATGCTTGCAGAGTCAGGCCTTCTCTTGTTAATACTAATAGAATACTTGTAGTTCCAAATACAGTACAGTAGTCTGTTTTCTATTGGGAAGGGTTTGTGTTGGAAGATTATACAGTACTATACTGTAGTAGTACAATGAACTCCTTATCATATGTAAATGGGTGCCATATTTGTCCCTAATGTTTAAATACATTAGTAATGCTCCACCTCATCTTAGAAACCCAGATTATGTGATGAGTAGCTTGTTACAGCACCACATGTTAACACCAGGTACTGTACTTATAATTTATAAAGACGAAGTTAGAAAAAAATATAATTAAACTCAAGTCATTTACATTATGTTATAGAAAAATAATTTTGACATACAAAGTTGTTTAGGTTTTGAATAATAATTGATTAATCTTTTAAATGACATACATTGTACTGCAAAAAATTCAGGAATTTGATGAACATTATTTCTGCACATTTACTTTTTACTGTACTCTACATAAATATTGTTTATATACTCTCTTAATTATAATATTAAAGAATAATTAAGACAAACAACGATACCAGAAATGGTATACTGTACTAAGAAAAGAATGAAAATGTGAATTTTGTGTGAGAATTAGTGTTGTAGTTGTCACCAGATGGCAGCTGCTGTCATGTCAACAAGATGGTCAGTCCTGCAGTTGTGTCACAAACTTTGAATTCATACAACCTTGAAATGGTCTTTGGCAGCTTCAGGAGGCACACATCCCCTTGTGAAGACACTTTTCCATGGTAAGAGGAATGTGTGGTTTTTTGATGCATAAATACAGTATATATGCAGGTAACTTGATGAGCCTGTGTTTCTAGGGCTGTCAATCTCCTCCCCCTGTGAAGGTATTGGCAGCATAATGTGTTGTCTAATGGTAGACCCTGCTGCCATATGTGACCAAGTCCCAGGTTGATGATCTCACTTTCTGCCTCATTTACACACAATTGCAGGGTCTCAATTGTTTCTCTTACTATTGACAACACAACATACATATATTGTTTCTCACTATTGATATTTTTATTTTTTGTTTTTGTATTTATTCATGGCTCTTTATTATTCGGGGGGTATTATTATTTATAATTTTTATAAATTTGTATTATTATTTTCTTTTATTAGAATTGTTACTTATTTAATATATTTATATTAATTTTATTACTACAGGGTATTATTATTATCATTATCATCATCATACATTATTATTATTATTATTTTATTATATTATATTATATTATATTATATTACATTACATTATATTTTTGCCCCCCACGCCTTGTTGTGGGTCATTAAAAATTGACCTGTGCCCGGGTGGGCTAATGCCCTTAAAAAAAAACTCTGGCAGGGGTGTGCCCATTTTGTCACCAACCCGTTTTATCACCACATATTTTACCCACTTCGTCACCACTGTTTTTACCCGTTTCATTACCACATAATTTACCCATTTCGTCACCACTGTTTTTACCCGTTTCGTCACCGTGTTCATTCCCATCACCATTTCTAGTGTAATACAAAATTCTTACATAATTAATACATCAATATATACACAAAATTTTAAACAAAATTTGCCAAAATAACTGTTGCTTGGGATAAAAAATAACCAAAACACATACATTAAAAAAATGGGGTTAATATATAGGACTAACCCGCCAGGGCTGCATACCACTGATGCGGCCGTATCATCTTGCATCCAGAAAAGGTTAGGTAAGGTTTGGTAGGTTTGTTTGGTTTGGTTGGTTAGGTCTGTTCTTCATTCCCACAAATGTTAAGTAGTGTTTATTTTAAAAATATTAATTTTTAACGTATTTCCACAAACTACAGTGCCCACTATAATATAGCAATGAAAATCCGGCATTTTTATAATTGTTTTCAATCAATTTTGCTCAAGGGTTATCCTATATAATTACCCAAAATTGTATTACAAAATTATGCCTCGGTATAACAATACATTGAATCATGCAAGCCTCTCACTAAGACAGTTTATTAAAGACAAAAATAAAAATGTTATTGCTCTTTCAATCATCTCACTTGAACAATATGTGAAAGACTTAAATTTAAAAAAATTAAAACATTGTTAATACTCATGCAAGCTTGGAAGAAGACACTGAAAATTTTTTAGGAAATTAGAAGTGGTGATATTTTTTCTTCATATTCATCCAACAGTTTCCAGAGATGGACTTGTTTGTCACAATTTTAGCTTGTGCTCAGCAATTAGTTGTAATTGCAAAATCAATGAAGAAGAAATAACCTTCAGTTCTGTATTTTGTTTATTTACCAATGATTTAATTGTTTTCTGTATTAAATAATTAATATTTATGTATAATAATAACAACAATAATTCATGAGTCGTCTGTATACATGTGTAATTTTTATTCGTGTAAAATAATAACTTAAAATTTGTCACTAATACCAGCAACTAACGGTCTGTTAGTGGTGACGAAACGGGTTTGATATTGGTGACGAGCCGGGTTGGTGACGAAATGGGGTGTATCCCTCTGGGAGGTGGAACACTTCTTTGGTGTGAGGTCCAGTGTTTTTTGCCACACTTGATCATATCCAGCTAGGGTTAAGAGAGCTTTCATACTGATCTCAAGAGCTGCCACACAGCCCATTAGTGGTCACCCAGGATGATGGATCTCCTGTAGTGAGGACACAAAGAAATGGGTAATATATTGCAGTAAACAGCAATCCCAGAATTTTGGAAATTCACTACACTCGATCGATAGAACTATTTTTTCTATGATCAGTTTCTTATATTACATTAGGTTAGGTAACACATTTTTTTATCAGATTTTTTGGTTGCTGTAATCTACAATTTTACCAAGAAATGAATCTATAAATGATGTGCAAATGATTCTGGAAACTGAAACGCTGAACAGATTACCAGGATAACAATGTAGAATTCAAGTATAAATATTCTGTATGTATAGCTTTTGTAGATTCTTGTACCACTTCCCCTTTAGGTATTCATATTTATGATTATAGAAAGGAAGAAGGTGCCGGGTATTTGTTTTGACAAATTTCTTTCTTGCCTCCAGAATATCCCCCAACACTGGTTGAGGATTTTCAGTATTGGTAATATTCTGCCAATTTTTTGTTTTTCCATTCTGAACACTAAACTATGTGAACCAGTCCATTATTGACAGGATTGTTTTATTCACAGGAACAAGTTACCAGTTACTACTAAAGTACTGTATATGATTTATTAGAGATAAGATGAAGGAACCTTCTGGTAACCTACTAACCTATGATAGGTTGGTTCATCTTCTCTAGTAAATCAGAATTTAGCAGTAGCTTGTACCGGGTAACTTGCTGTTTATGCAAGAAATGCTGTTCGGAACCAAATCACCAAACTAATATTGAGAAAATTGCAAATCCTTGTACAGGGGTACTTTATTTAATTTTTTAATATAAGAAAATTTATACTTTTATCCTCTTTGCCACTGAGCATTTAGCTTTGATAATTTATTTCTTATACCCTCCTCTGAGAATACAATATGGGTCAACGCTGTCAAACCGTCTTTCCTCAAACACAGGAGGATTGTTCGCATCCTCTCTCGTGAACACCGAGGAAAAGAATTTGTTCAGCGCCTCAGCCCTGTCCTGGTCAGAATCTGGATAAGTACCATCTTCAAACCTCAGATCTGATACACCTACATGCATTTTTAATTTTGATTTTATATAACGGTATACAGCCTTTGGGTTTGACTTACCTCGCTTGCAATACGCATTTGGAACTCTTTCAGCCCTTCTACTCTCTGATTTTGCTTGGGTCCTGGCATATTTTCTCCTGTCCTGCTCATCATTTGTCTTAACTCATGTCTTAAATTTTAGATTTTTTCTTAACTTAGTCAATCACCTCATGGTTCATGTGTAACTGTCTCCTTGCATTCCTGGAGCCAATGGGTTTGGTCTTGGGTATATACAGTATTTGTCAATCTAATAGTTCACTTTATTGGCTATGATATTCAGCGTAGTGTCTGTATTCTTATGTCTTGGTGAACCAGGCCAGTGAATACCCCTCATCCCATTGTAATTTCCCTTGTAATATTTGAACCTTGGGCTGCTATTGTCATGAACCAAGTCACAGTTAAATCCGAATGACAACATTATGTGGTCACTGGTGCCAACGGGGCTAAGTGTTCCAGCTTGACCACCATACCCTCCTCGTTAATTATGGTGAGGTCCAGCGGATTTGGTGTTTGCTCCCCTCTGCAGTGAGTTGGATCTTTAACATGTTGGAATAGAAAATTTGTCTGTGTTTCTACAGAGAGAGTAGCAGGGTTGTTAAGGTCATTTGGCCTCACCATTTCTCCAATATGTCCTGGAAATCACACATCTTTAACATAGCTAAAGCTCCCTCCCGAAAGTTGGGAATGCTGTACAGATGCCATAGCTACTTCACTCCTGAGCAATTGCTTCAAGTATATAAGGGATTCATTTGTCTTAACTTGGAGTACTGCTATCTTCTGTCCAACTGTTAGATAGGGTGGAATCAAAGGCATTTCGTCTTAACACTCCTCCTTTAGTCGACAATCTTTCTTCCCTTTCTCTTCACAGCAATGTTGCTTCACACACACTCTCTTTTACAGGTACTTTAACGGGCAATGTTCGGTGGATTTGGCATCCTGTGTACCGCCGGCAAGGCCGTAAGCTCGTAATGCACGTCTTGCCCGTGGTGCCCACCGTTTCTCTGTGGATGTCGGTCACACTAGAATAACCCGTTATAGTGCATCCTTCTTTCTTCACACAGCCAAACTGTGGAATGCTCTGTCTTCTGTGTTTCCATACTTATACAATCTGTCTCACTTTAAAAAGCTGGTTTTCCAGCATCTTCGTGTTGTAGATTAACACAGTACAGGGTATATATTTAAAAGGGTTGAATTATATTAAGGCAAAGCCAGAATCAATGTCATGTGGTAATATCACCACCAGCCAAGTATTCAAAGTAACAAGGTTACGTCCAACTGCTAAATCTGGTTTAGTTGCACGTGTTTAGCCAGTCAGGAAGTATTGAATGATATTCCATGTAATCTTGGTTTTATATTGGTGAAGACCCATACATTTGTGTTTGTTTAATTTGTATGTCTTTCACATTCAGTTAAGTGAGGTTTCTGTAATGTGTCCGAGATTGGCCCGGAGTGCATCCCTCAATTATAAAGGCCCGTCCACACGATCGAGCAGTGCCCGGCGGGCACGCGCTAAATGCCCATTATTGGGCAAAATTGGCGGGCAAACCAGCGGAGTGCGCGTGCCCGTTGTTGAGTGAAATCATGGTCCGCCTGCCTGGTGGTTTGCTGCCTGATATGGAGCGACGACTGTAAGTACTGCAAATGTGATACGTATATGTTCCTCGCTCGGTCCAGATGTCCAGTGTATAACCAAATAAGCTTATGCAATGTACATTATTGGCGTGACAATAAATGGGAGATTGTTTATGTATTATGTAATGAGGACATTCGTGTGTGTTCTTCGTTCCTGCCGTTCTCCTCACTCTAGTTCCATAGCTTCCTATCTATGCATATCATAATTCTAACATTATTCAATGAATTTTTATGTACTACAAATCTCACCTGCAAGTAATCTTCCTTGAGTGCTTCATACATGGCTTGACAAATTGCAGGTATTATGTGAGACAAACTTTGTTTTGATATCCTTGTTCTATAGTGAAGTGACGTGACATGTAGGTGCACCCAGTTGAAAGATATACGAGTGTTGCCTCTAGACGAGCCTCTGCAGATATACTCTCCCTCATATTGGTATCCTGTTTTTTTTTATGTATGGTTCCACTTTCGCTAGAAGTTTGTAAAAGGTGTTGGGGTCCATTCTCATGTAAATGGTGAAGTCTTGTTCATGTCCATCTTGCAGTTCACGTAAAATCGTGGCATGACTTCCCAATACTTTTCTTCGACCTAACCACTCTTTGCACCATTCCCTTTTCTGCATTTGGTTCTTCTTTTTGCACATAGCAGCAATTATTATAGTACACAACGCTATGCTCTTCGCTTTAACTGTCCGGCGATTATTCCTGCGACACACCATGGTGATCGTACCGCACCCGCCACTGCCTGCTACTGGCGCCCGACTATGACTGCCGCCAACCACCCCTGTGTGTACAACAACACACAGGCTTTGCCCGGTAAACGGGCAAAGCCTGCCGGGCACTGCTCGATCGTGTGGACGGGGCTTAACACTAAGTCTATGGGAAAAGTGTGTCCTTGTTACTTACCATTTTCTTGGAATATATTACTGTCTAAAGTTATCATACATGTAAGAAAATTATCTTACATTGGTCTCTCTGCCTGTGGGAAAAGCTGCGGAGGCAGGAGTTAGACCTTCCTCATGAAACCACTTTTGATCACTGGTAGGTGAAGAAATATGTTTCTAGTGGAGTATAGTATAGTACTATAGTATATTATAACAGGGACTATGCAGCTTATACTGGGTGGCCAAAACAATGGGTAAGATGCAAGAGGTGAAGTAACATTGTTCTCTGTACTGTTTTACCTTCATACCACAATCTGGTCATGACATATTACTGTATGTGAACACATTTATTCATAAGGTATATTTTATTTATATAACTTCGTCATAAAGTTGTGATTTTGGCATAAGATTGAACAATCAAAATATTAGTTGGGAAATATTAAAACATTTTTAAAAGTAACAACTGTTTATTAAATTAGTTACATAAAAGTGAACGGAGAATAAAATGATTAAAACTTGTGTAAAGGCAATGAACATCTCCCTACAAACTTTATGAAGAATAATGTTAAAATCCAATTTCAAACAAAAGATATCCAAGACAAAGTAAAAATCTGAATAGTACAGTATTGAGCTTCATTATTAAGAAAACATAGTTTTCATTCCTAAAATTATAATACCGGGTACTGTACAGTACAGTATTGTAATAATGAAGTGATCAGCAGTTTGGGAATACTGTATAGTATTAACATCCATTATTAAAATAACTTACCATCCATATACAAGAACCTGATCAATGTTGTGCTTACTTGGTAGTAGCATACTGTTCTGTTCATTATTTGCCTTCCCTGACAACAGTGTATCCTCATCACTGTTGTCAGATGGTTGGATAGCATGGGGATCATTGCTGGTGGTTACTAATTTTCTTCATCAGGACACGGAGATATGCCTGTGCAGTGCCTTGATGGCACTGTTCTTCCGGGTAGTCCGACGGCGCTTATGGAGGTGACCGTACTCCTCTCCCCTCACATCCTCGTTCTCCTGTGTTATGGACACACTTAATCTCCTGTAAATTTTTTTGAGGGGAATAGGAAACATTTTCTGCTCGATAGGCTTATGTTTTGTAATACAGTTATAGCGCCGTTAGCCGGAATCCCTCAAACCCGGAACTCTCCGATAGCCGGAATTGAAATTTTCTAAGAAAATTTTTCCCAAAGCCGGAATTTTCCGGAAAATCTTGGCTTTGGGAACGATTTTCTGAGGGGCACTTTTTCCGGAAAATTACGAAAAAAAAATCCCAATACCCGGAAAATTCTTGAAAAATCCGGGGATGGGGAGTTTTTTCCTGGTTTGAGAGATGGAAATAGGGCGCATTTTCTGGAAATTCCGAGAAAATTTTTCTGTTACCCAGAAACTTCCGGGAATGAGGTATATTTTTCCGGGTTCAAGAGAAGATATAATGGGCAATTTCTTGAACTTCCGAGAACATTTTCTGTTACTTGGAAAATTTTCGGGGACGAGGGATATTTTTCCGGCTTTGAGAGTCGTCGTCTCGTTACCAGGGAATCTATCCCTCCCAGAAGTGCTCAGCACCAATAAATTGTGACACTAAACCCTTGTGCAACATGTTTTTATAGGGCACAGTTTGCATTAATGCAAAAAATGGAAATTCAAGATTTTTTCTGCTTCTATTTATGCAGATCTCTAGGTGAACAGAGTTTTGTGGTAATTTTTTTTTTTTGTAGTAGACCCATGGAGTGGGGCACTGACATGTCCCACCACTAATTACAAGCCAATCTACATCAAATCATATTTAGTACTGTACTCAACATATGTTTCTTCATTAATCTATATACAGTATAAAATACATTGTGTATCTGTATGTTCCTTAAGCATTTCCACAGTTTTAAAAGTTGGGAGCTGAAATTTGGTAGGGGGGATGCAGGTGGTCTAGGGGCTGGTTGTGCACTCTCCTCTCCCTCTAGGACCACATCCTCCCTACCCACAGATTGACAGTTTTGAAGTCAGAGAACTTAAATTTGGTTGGAAGGTGTGGGTGACCTAGGGAATGGTCCTGCACTATATTCTGGGCCTTCATGAGGGGGTGGATACCACCTACTCATTGGTCGGATGCATTTGCTCAGTTTTAATGATAGAATGCAGTTTGTTAAGAAGGTGCTGTGCAGTGCAGTCTCCTGTCCCTCAACCCGGTCAAAGTTAGGCAACTCGCTAAGTGGACTGTATGGCTGGAATGAACAGTCATTAATCACAGAGAGAATGTATAATATGAAGTCCAGGCCAGACCTTTGCTTCTAAAGTAATGTAAAACATTACATGTACTTATTATTTATAAATAATAAGATCTTAATAGTGATGCAATTTATTCATGATATCTAAGGATGGGATTCGCAACCAAGCAAATTATAATGTATGTAAATGAGGCATGGTGGAGGTGTGGTGCATCTCGAGTACAGATCAGTACTTGATGGTTGCCATCTATTGATTAAAGTCAAATCTCCATTAAAATGTACACTGCAGCATAAAACTATACAGTACAGTACTGTATAGACACACAGTCACACACAAACATTTTTACATTCATACACCACGTGTCCCAACATAAAGAAGTCATTTCCCTAACTGAAACTAGCTAGAGAAAGACCTGGGTGTTTATGTTGGAGTAACAGTTTTTTTATCATTGTGAGAACCTTGCAAATAAACTAGCTGGATTAATGTAAAGATCCTGTATATATCTAGATGGCCTGTCTGTAATTCCTTTACTGGATGGTCTTTGGTTCCCAAAACCTGATCCTTATACAGTACTCTCATAAAACTGTGAAATGAATTCACAATTATGTGACCTGTTTAAGGATGCAGCCATGTGTAAAAAAATGTGAGTTTACTGAAGCCATGTAAAATTCAGTTTCATGTATGATCTACTGTTGCAGTCAGTCCAAAAAAGGTAGAGACAAAAGAAATCAGAATAAAATACTTCTGTAATAGAAAACAAACCTGATGCAATATGCAACATCATTAAGGGCCTGAGCAAGTAAACATTTAATTTTTAACTTACTTGTTCATCTCTTTGCCTCTTGCCAGGAGCTGCATCAGTCTCTGCACATAACTTGGAGTTCTCTTGTTTGAATGTTGGGGGACTATGCATGGGAGATTCTGTAAGACAAGACACCACTATACTGTAATACTATATATCATAAATTTAGATGGTAATTTTAGCAACAAACAGCGGCATTAACTAAATACTGTAACTGGAAGTAAAACAAGTCATTGCAAAAATTGTGTCCTGGCATTTACACAAGTACTGTTATGTGTCACTGGGAATTTATGTAAATGAGTTTGTATGTTTTTTTTTTCTTAAATTGAGAAGTTTGAGATACAGTATATTGACTATGCTTTAGTTTTACTATAATTATTAAAAGTATGTGTGCATACATGAAAAAGCACATGTGCATGCAGGTATGCACCATATGTTAAACACGACAAGCACATGTGTAGTATACAGCCATGCATGAGTACTGTATAGTAAAACAGTACAAGTAGGTATGCATTGTGTGTTCATTTACAGGGGTGTACTGTATGTGAACAGTTTTAAAACAATATCCCTCTCAAAACAAAAAATAAGTACTGGAACACATTAGTTCCTTTATTACCATCAGACTGCTCATCATTATTATCTTGGTCATCAGGGAACAAGAACAAGACAGGCGGTCGAGGAAGTTGTCTCACGAGAAATACTTGAGGATGGGCAACATGAGCCACCTTCAGACAATGGGCTATTTGGCAGCACTTCTCAATCCTTACCACCAGATTCTCGTATGCCTGCAAGGCAATGCATTACATTTTTATTCACACTTGTCAATGAGTCAAGGAAATATGACTATGCAGGCTGTCAAGGTAACCCTTTACAACCCATACTGTCAAAATAATACATTGTACTCCTCATATCATCAAGGGAGCATTACTATCAACATACCGAAGACATACATCATAGCTGAACACATATCTAGGTAACACTCACTATAACTGAACACACATCTATGCCACACACAACATAACTGAACACACATCTATGCCACACTCAACATAACTGAACACACATCTGTGCCACACACAACATAACTGAACACACATCTATGCCACACTCAACATAGCTGGACATATCTAAGCCACACTTTACAATAGCGTAACCCCGCTTTACGCGGTCAATTGAACCCACGGAGGCCCTCGTAAAGTGAACACAGAACATATGGGATTAATTGAAATAGAGACTGGCCCGACCCCCAAACTCGACTTTTTCCCGACAATACGTACGTTTTAGTAAAAATAACATCTTAACTTTATGATGGTATGCACACACACATAATATAGAAGAGAAATATCAATAAGAGAATAATATACTGTACCAGGTAAAAGAAAAATCAAGGTTTAACACACATGTCATGGTAGGTTAGGTTAGAAAAAAAAAATCAAGGTTTAACACTAACCTAAGGTTAGGTTATGTTAGGAAAAATCAAGGTTTAACACTTACGTAAGGTTAGGTTATGTTAGGAAAAATCAAGGTTAGGTTTAACACTTTCGTTAGTAGAAGAAATGGGTCGGCGTACGGGAATGGAGGCTGGTTCCGAGGCAGAGGGCAGGCTACTGGCCCTCAGGTGAGTCACCATCACTGTCATCCACACTTGTCAGGGCCTCCGACAAATCCCTCAAAGTCATCATCACTGTGTCCGTCACTATCACTGGCTTGGGCTGGCTGTGGTGGGTTGCGGGCGAAGAACTCGGTAATGCTTTGTTGACGGCTAGTGTTGATGTTGTCGTGATACACCTTGATGTTGGGCTTCATAGTCTGCAACAGCTGGGGAGTGAAGACTTCATACCGGTTATCATTAGGGTCGTCGGAAAGGAGGAGCTTCAGTTTCACTACACACTCGATGGCACCCCTAACATTACCATGCGTTAACTTGTGTTCTTCTCGGGATGACGCACCTCCTGTCTCTTCACTGATGTGATCGTCTTCTAACATCTCGTTGGCAGTCACATCAGGATCCCTTATCACCTTCATAATGTCGTCGTTGGTGGTCTCGGAGAAGCCTGCAGCTGTAACAGTCTGCACAGCTTCTCTGGCAAGGTCCACTGCTACTGCAACAGTCTGAACCTCACCAGTCACAGATTGACTCTGCCTCCCACCTGGGATTGCCTCCCGCCTGGGATACCTTGCAACACATGTCTCCATGCGTGATGAACCGTTGCTACAGACAGCTGATCCCATGCCTCCACCAAGAAGTCAACAGCTTTCTTGACGTTAAATTTCCTCCAAAAGTGTTTCACAAGAACTTCTTGCTCTGCCAACTGTTGTTCCTCGTCCTCGTCGCCCAGGTTACGCATCTCATCCTTGGTGTTGGTATAGTCGTTCAGGAGCTTAAACTTCTTTGCAGAGAATGCAGCTGTCACATTGCAGATTAATTCTTGGTCCATGGGCTGGATTAATGACGTAGTGTTGGGAGGAAGGAAGACCACTTATACGTTGGGGTGACGATCCAACAGTAGGGGCGAGTGTCCTGGTGCGTTGTCAAGCAGCAACAAAATCTTGAATGGAACATTCTGTTGCTCACAGAATTTCTTCACGTCGGGAACGAAACAGTCATCAAACCAGGAGAGGGACAGAGTAGAGAACATCCACGCCTTACATACGGTCAGCCATTTGACATTTAGCTTGGACATGTCCATGTTCTTGTAGGCGTGTGGCTTGCGGGTTGTGTGGATCACCGATAACTTGAGTTTACAGTAACCGGAGGCATTGGTGGTAAAGAGGACGGTGATGCGCTCCTCCTGCAACTTCCGGCCCCGACACTTGCTGGCAGACTTGACAACGAAGGTCTTGGAATGTAGCTTTTTCCAAAAGAGACCGGATTCGTCCATGTTGAACACCTGGTCGTCGGTGTGCTGTCCTTCCTCCATAATCTCACGTAAGAACGGAGGAAAATCCCTAGCCGCAACACGGTCAGCACTCGCTTCTTCACCACCAATGTTAATGTTGGTGATCTTGTTCCTCTTCTTAAACCTGTGCAACCACCCAGAGGAAGCATTGAAGGGTTTGGGCTCTGCAATTCCCATCTTACGTGACACTGCTGCGTACAGTTCGTGTGTGTACTCCTGAACTGAGCGCGTGTCGACCGCCATGTTCCGTCTTGCCTGACGAATCAAGTAGCTCACAAGTAACTTCTCCGTCTTGAGAAGCACCTTGTTGTGGCAATACTTGATCATTGAAGCACCTGTAGACTTTGTGATGTTCATGTGTTCTTTTATCTTGGCTGCATCGTTCTTTATCATCCGGATCGTAGATTCGTTCACACCATGCTGGCGCGCCAAATCAACCTGTCTTGTTCCTTTCTCCAACTCTCAGATGATCTTGTACTTCACCTCGTAGCTTAGGGCATGTCGTATCTTCTTTGGCTTAGGGCGGCTGGGTCCAGGTAATGCAAGGTTTTTCTGTGGTGGTGGTAGTCCGGTGGCAGCCATTCTTATGGAACTATAGATACCGATATACACGGTGTAGCCGGGAGGGGTGTAACTGATGCGGGTAGGTCAACGGGCTTCATTGCTCTCGCGGCAGGGCACGTCATATTACATTAAACCAATCACAGATAGCAGGGAGGGAGGTAAGGCTGCGTGGCCCAATCACAGTCCGATACTTCATATGACGTCACCGATAACGCAACAAAGACATACACTGCGCAACCTACTAGTGGCGCTTACCCAACATGGCGGGAGGTTTGAATCCAAAAATGGCGCGGCGCTAGATGACTGCCAGCCGCTCTCCGCGTATATGAGTAGATGCACCGCGTAAAGTGAACATTCCGGTTCTGGCGGGGTACAGCGTAAATGTAGAAACGCGTAAAAAAAAATGCGTAAAGCGGGGTATTACTGTATTCTTAAACTACATTCAGCATATTTGAACACGCACACACATCATCTTCATATGCACCATATAATGTGAACAAGCTCACAATGGCAACTCGCATCACTTTTAAGAGGAAAATATAACTATGATAAACCTGGTCTTTCCTTTGTCATAGTAACTGTTCTTGTAGTCAGTTTTGTATCTGTTTTCTCTGTTTTTTGTACAGTAATGTATATGACGAACAAATATGAAAACTCAACGGTATAGAATTACTTACCGTTCAAAACCCATAAGAAAACTGTATGGCCTATCTGCAATTTTGATGATGTGCCTTTAATTTCTTTGTACCTATGTAATTCGATAATGTATGTGCAATCAACCTTTTGAAATCTCTGGGTTTGTACATGTATAGTACTACTGTTGTTGTTAAAGGCATCTTGAAAAACACACTGGATTGTTTCTTTGGTCATTTCCTGTAAAACCAGAAAATTGAACCAACCTTATCAATAGTGACCAGGAGGGAATGTCGTAGGCGAGGGGAGAAGGTGTAGTATGCGTAGAAGCGGAGAGTCTGGAGATGGGCATGGATGGTTGTATAGAAGAGCTCCAGTTGGCCACTCAGTGAGGACAACACATCTGTATAGGAGCAGGAAAACTTCACTCGGACAATCACTGTGAATGGGTTAAAGGATGCAAAGGACCCCGGGGCTTATGCTTTGCCACTGCTTCAGTTAAGGATTGGGATGTGGAGACAGCATCTTCAAGACAGGTACAGTATAGTATTTGGCTTGAGAAGGAGTTTATACCTTTAACACACTCCTTTATCTAGAAAGAAGTGATACAGCTTATCAATTCGTCTTTGGTCAGAAAATGTAACCAGAACAAGTTTTAAAGACAAGATTGAATTGACAGAAACCACAAGTGGTGGATTGATGTCTTCAATCCCTTGGTGTATTATATATACTATACAGCATATGCACCAGCTCTTAGGGTGATGAGTACAAATAATATTTTGTATATCTATACAGTACTACTGTATTAAATTCTACTTATGTTCAGCTTGAGCTATTATGGTCATTAGCACCTTTTATGAATGGAATAATTTGTGTTCATCATCTCTTTTTCCAAACATGCCTGATATTTTGGGTTCATGGTCCTGAGGTCCATTGCACCCATGTTATAAGTCGGTCTTTATTATTTTGCAAAATTCAAATGTTTGCCAAATGCTTGGTCCCAAAGGTGTGCATACTAGAGATGTTCAACTGTATTTATTTTTATATAGTTATAACAAAATTAAAATTTACCTATGAGTGTTAAGAGAAGGCAAGGAGAAGAGCTGCTGGACTGCCTCTCAGTTGGGGTAGTAGTTGAGGATCTTGCTGACATCTGAGTTTCTGGGGACACAGACCATGTGGAGACCCTTGATATTGACGACCTGGACCGAGTGAGCACTGTTGTTGGTGTGGACCTGATCCCAGTGGGAACCATAGCTGTTATAGACTTGGACCTGGACCTGGTCAGCAAGGTGTATGTTGTGGATTTGGAACTGGACTGCACTGTGGTTGATGTGGACCTGTCCTTGGACTGCACAGTGGTTGTTGTAGACTTGGACCTGGCTCTGGATGATCTTGAGGCTATTGCTGCCCTGGACTTGGACCTGGTTGTCATTGCTGATGTGATAATTGGTTCCTTTGGTAGAAGCATGGTAGGCATACCAGACTGAACAAGTGCTTCAACTGTACTGTGCATGGTGGAGGGTGGGGGCATGGTGGAGGATGCAGGGATAGTGGAGGGTAGAGGGGTAGTGGAGGGCACAGGTACATGTTGACATGAAGCCCAGTAGTCCGTGAGATGGATAAGCTTTTTAAAGATGTGCGAGTGTTGTGCCCAGGTCACCCTGAAAGTACATGTTATGTCAGACTGACCAATTTGATGGTTCATTGTTTAATAAAAACTTTTCATAAACAGTTTCCTTAGCATTAGTGAAAAGTTAGACAAGCATGGCATGTACAGTAATTCCTGTGCCTCTCACAAAGGTATGTCATGAAATACTTTACACAATGAATGAAAGATGGTACCAACATGATACTTATGTAGAGGGTTGCATCACAAGCCCCCATACAGTGGCCTAACATATGTCAGTTGATCAAGGGTAAATTCTTTTACTTCTCTGGGAGTGATTCCATGAGCAGCCATATATATATATATATACAGTAATACCCCGCTTTACGCGGTCAATTGAACCCACGGAGGCCCATGTAAAGCGCGAAACGCGTAAAGTGAACAACGGAACATATGGGATTAATTGAAATCGAGACTGGGCCGACCCCCAAACTCCACTTTTTCAGACACAATACGTACGTTGTAGTAAAAATATTTTCTTAATTTTATGGTGGTATGCACACACAATTAATAATTAAGAAAAATATCAATAATATTAGGTTTTTTAACACTTACGTACATTAGTAGAAAAGATGGCTGGGCACACGGGGATGGGGGGTTGGTTCCGAGGCAGAGGTCAGATTATTGGCCCTCACCTGTATCACTTGTATCAATTGTATCACTATCCACCACAGAGGCTTGCAGGGCCTCTTTGTCAAACCCCTCAAAGTCCATATAAGTCCGTATCCTCACTATCACTGACTTGGGCCGGCTGTGGTGGGTGGCGGGTGAAGAACTCGGTAATGTTTTGATGACTGGGCGACATTGTGCGCACCCTGCCCGCGCCGCTTCCCGCTTATATGAGTAGATGCACCGCGTAAAGTGAACATTCCGGTTCTGCCGGGGTACCGCATAAATGTAGAAATGCGTAAAAAAAAACGCGTAAAGCGGGGTATTACTGTACTGTACTGTACTGGCACAAATATAAGAACATAAGAATGGAGGAAACTGCAGGAGGCTTACTGGCCCATACTGGGCAGTCCCATTTACACCCAACCCCTATTGCTCATATATCCATCCAACCTATGTTTGAAGCTATCCAGCATATTCGAGTTAATGATGATGTTTGGTAACTTGTTTCGCTCATCCATTACTCTATTTCCAAACAAATGTTTACCAATTCCACGCCCAAATCTAAATTTGTATAACTTAAACCGTTGTTACAAGATTGCTCCTGGTTGGATAGTTTGAGTACCTTTGTAATGTCCCCTTTGTTTATCCCAACAGGATTAAGTTGGTACAAACACACTACAATTACAGTAGTGATCAAGTGAGTTGTGAGATTTTGCTTGAGGATCCTGGAATGTCCAATATTTGATGATTGCTTAGTTGCTCGTGGTTAGTAAATACTGTACCGCGAATTTCAGAAAACTGTCAAGACAAACCTTTTCAGAGTGAGTGATAAACTCTTGGAACAATCTGCCAGAGAGCATTGTGACAGCACCAAGTGTGGCACTGGTACAGATACATTCTGGAGCCAGTACATGCTCAGTACTTGCCATCAGTACGTAACAGAAACAATACCATCTCCCAAATGGCTGATGAGCTGATCAGTGATGAAGAGAACAAAAATTAAAGGGTAAATTTGCATTGTCACACCGTTCTCTGTTAGAAAGTCAAAAATATATTTTTCTAGTGTATTTGTGTGTGTTTAGACCGAATATGACCTTCATTTTTGGCGGAAATTAGCTGGGTTTTTTTTAGCGATTTTTTTTTCGTTGGACGTGTTGCGAAAAAAAAAATCATGGCAAATTACATAAAAAAAAACACTAGAAAAACAAAAACCAAACCTAACCTAACTTAACTGACTCTCACCATATGATGGAATCACCTATTTCTTACCTTATTGGGCTGGTTCTTGTTCGTCGTTGGATTCTGAGATTCTTACACAACGCCACATATGTTGGTCTTTGCGATATTTACATTCAGTCTTGCTCTTCGAACACTTTACTGAGGTTGGAAGAACACCATGCGATCGAAAAAAATGCTATAGTTTCTACGTTTTTTCCCAAAAAACTTGCAATCAGCTCCTTATAATTTAAGTGACACCCATCGCAGACTTCCATGGTCGGAACTGAACTTGAATTTCGAAATATGAGACCCAAAATAAAACTCGAATTTGATTGGGCCAAATATACCGCGAATTAAACCCAAAATCATTTTAATTGGTTGCAAAAACAAAAACGCTTTTGATTGGCCGCGTGACGTGTACAGGAATGCATGCACGTGATGATTTATGAAGGAGACACACAGTGTTGGAGGAGAGGCAGGCGATAATGGAGGAAGATTAATGGAAGAAAATAGAGAAAATTTTGGATAAGCTATCTCCGTTATTATACATTTCCGTCGGCAATGAAATAAATGAGTATTATCTTATAATTAGAAGTCTTATTCGAATATGATAATAGATTAGTGGTAGGAATGAACGCAATAATACCAATCAAAGTATGACTTACTCTTTAAGGGGCCAGTTATGGGTACAGGAGTGGTCAGTGAGGTCAGGAGAGAGCCAGGAGAATGCAGGTGGAGGGTGTGAGGGAGCCTCCTTGGTTATGGCATACACCAGCATACGTGCCTCCTCCCGTACACACAACATCATCAGTCTTCTTCTGCTCACACAGGTACATTAACCTGTTATGATTGACATTATGTGCAAAACTGGATCAGTTATGAATAGGATATTTTAGGCAATTCTATATTAAACTCACACTCAAAATCATGAGTAACTCATTTGGATAACGTAAGCAGACAGGTAATTAAGTTGGAAAAATGGCAGTTACCTGAATGGCAGGTCCAAATGGCCTCTGGTTTCCTAGATAAATGCCACTGAATTTTAAAATGACCTTGTTGATCTTTGCTTTGGAGAGTACATATATTTCATGGGTATTGAAGCAATCTACTTTTTATATTATTTAAAATTATAGGAATAATTTATGACAAAGATTTTCATCAAAGTGTAGTAAAAATACTTGTATTTCATAAAGGTACTGTATCAGGACATATTCTTTCAACACTTGGGGAATTAAGACCATGCCTTTGAGGGTGTCCCAGCCAAAAGGATCAGGTATGACCAACTTCCATACTACCCAAGAGGTGTTGTTAATGGGTTTATTTGTTGAGTGGCTGTATCAGGAGCCAAGAACACTTTTTTATTGGTGGAAGGTTATATCATCCGAAAGTGACATAAAAACTGAGTAGCTTCTGATGTTTTTGAAAAGTCCTTTACAATACAAACACTGTACTGTATTATACAGGTAAATTGAAAATAATGTGAATTGGCTTTTATTTTATTTTTGCAAACATCTTAAACTATTATTACCAGTAGTACTTTTGGCACTTCAGCCATTGTTGCACAGACTTTGAAGCATTAGTCCCCTCTGATTTTTTCATCAGGGAGTAAATTTGCCTTGTGTCTGTGGAAGGATTCTATGTTGGAAATGTCTCCCAGGTCAGTGATCAGTTTGTGAGCCTTAAGTGATGGAAACAAACTAAATGATGGTCCTTGGGGTGATGGAAGCTGATCACTGCCTCAATTTTTTTTTTATCCTCAGGCACATTTATGCAGAGGTCAGAGGTCAAAAGCAATATGGTTTCCAAGTACTAGAAACTGTCAGGCATTGATGTGTTACGGTTGCAGTAGGAAAGCTCCAAGCCACTTGTGGTGGTGTTTTGAGTCACTCCAGGTTATACATGGTATTTGGAGTTGTATTGTTTGGGATTATTTTGATAGGGGTAAGAGTTGAGTTGCGTGGAAGAGGGGTGTCTAGCCCAAGGACCTAGTGTAATTGAAACAAGATGAAAGCCAGCAATTGTGACTTGTAGGAGGAAAGATGGACTTGGGTATCCATTAAGCACACCTAATTAACTGTGATGCATTACAGAAAGACCTCTACCAGTTTTAGGAGTGGTCAAAAGATTGGATACTGAGCTTCAACATTGTGAAGTGCAAGAGGAGGTTAAAAGTAGGATACCCCCTACGTTTATCCTTGAATCCCCAGCAGTCATGAGCTTAGATATAAAGTCCCTAGAATAAGATGGAAAGGGCATACACGGCACGGCACAAAACTCCCCATATGACAATACTGTACTCACTTTGCTCCCCCTCCCTAGTGAGGTTTATCTCTATATTCTTGTAATATTTATGTCTTTCCCCCCTATGGGCCTAACCTGTACCACCTCCATTATCCTCGTGACATGGGTGGTTGGAGGGGGAAGGTACCTCATCCTCAGTAACA